TTCCAACGATACAATCTCAAAAAGAATGAGCATTGAGGATCGGAAGTTGTCGAAGGAGAACGTCGTAGAAGGTGAAGGATTCTCCCAGGCACGAGGGGCCAAATATCCGAAAGAGGTGCCATATATTGTGTTGACATACTCGTTGGTACAATCGCCGAGGCCTTGGACACCGTTATCGCTGCACTCATTCATTAATCCTGCAAAGATGTTGACGCCCCATACGCTAAAGGGAATCAGATACAGGATCGCCAAAATGGCGGCATCCAAGATACGAGTCACCCCGGAAATAATAAGTGATTCGAACGTGTTTCGCATCTTCTCGATCAAGGTTACAAGGCGGAGAGCTCGAAGAGCCTTGAGTGCGTGGATAAAACGGGTCAATCCACTGACAAAAATGAGCGTGAATGACAAGTTCACTAGGATACCGATGAGTATAATGAAATCCAGGATGTTCCATATGCTCTTGACGTAGGCGTTGGGAGTGAACAAGAAACCATCGGCGATGATCTTGATGATGAATTCGACTAGTAAAGGAACACCGAACGCCATCTCGGCGATATTAAACCAAGTACCACGCACCAAACCGTGCTCCATGTAGTAATTGCGCCGGTACAAAGGAGTGGCTACAGCCTCCATGATGATACCACCAAGCACAGTCAACAAGATCAGGAGCTGAAACAGCGTATGGGCAACGTCGGAGGGTGGGGCTCCGAATAGGCGCTCTCCGCCAGCAGGCTTGACAATCTTCTGGCACATATTCCGGAGACGGTCTTCCTGCGAGAAAAGCCAAAAGGTCTTGTCATACGTCGGGTGGTCGATGATGAAGTCCGCCTTCTGCGCCCTCCGCTCGGAGTGCTCATCATGGTCGTTCTCAGTTGTGTTAACGCCGTTGCTCGCCTTAGCGATGATATCGCTACAAGTTCGTGTGAGCATAAGCTGCCACTTATAGGTACCAGAAAGCTCACAGATAACGATCCATCTCTTCGTTTTGAACCGCTGTCGACTCACGGCGGCCCTGTCGTAAGTCCACCAACAGCAGGTCATTAGAATTCGTAGTCCCAGAAAATAGTTGTTGAAGCATCGTCAGCGATTTTGAAGGCAGATGCCTTGCACCCTTCAAGGGAACGGGTTTCTTTCGATTGTGTTGTCCAATCACCCCGTAATCTTGCACAAGCGTCTTCTGCATCGGCAAGACCAGGTTCGAAGGAAGGTTTTCGACCTTGACTCGAACGGGATCCGCCTTGATCCATCGATATGGATTCAACTTGCGAGTCCAACTGTTGTGCATGACCCTTTGCGGGTGGCTTTGAGTCCAGTAGTCCGATGCCTGTTTACTCTTCTTCGTTTCTTCTGCAACGCTGAAGTTCTCATGGATGACGGCGATGAACATCTGCATCACGATGACTGGAGAAACAATGCGCATCAACAGAGGAAGGCAATATGCACGAGCACTTTGGGCGACTTACAATTTGCAAATATCAGCCACGAGCATAAGAAAACGATCACGATCGCCGCCTGCCCCAGAGAGATCTCTGCATCTGCTGTCGAGTACAAGACGTTCGTCCAATTCTCGGATGAAAAGATCTGGTACACAGCGAGGAACGAATTCCACAACTGTCCGAAATTCAACGCGGTCGAGCCGTACATATCGCCGCGAATGAGCTCCACGCAAACCAACGCAGCAAAAAGGTTGACAAGCAGCAAGAAAAGTGTCATATTTGCTAGACCGTAAAGATTTCCAAAGACTGTGAGCTGAGATGGTTTAGTTGTCTGTCAGATGTTCAGATGGCGACTAGACTTCACCATGAGTGGTTTCATTCTCGGAAACTCTAAAATAACCCTGTAGAACCTCCCTAGTTGAAATATCGTCAACCAGGGATATAGCTCCGAGTTGTGAATGGCCGGAATCTGAATGACGCTCGACCCCACAGCCAACACAAGATCCAGCCAGTTGTTCCCATGCTGGAAGAATCTTCGCCAAGCTGGGAGCTCCGCTACAACGCGCATGATGATCTCAATGTCGAAGGCCACTGTAAGCGCTAGCTCTGACTTGTCCAGTATCTGTTGATGCAGTTCGCTCATGTCAGCACTGGCGGTGGCTTGTACCACGAGCGACGCGAGGGCCAGAAATACCCAGCACCAGCGCGTATGGGTGTAGAATTCCTTGAGCGAGTTGCTCTGAGAAACGTGTTTCCCGTCCAACCAGCCCTCTTCTCGCTCTTCGACGACAAGCCCTAGTCTGTGATTGGAACGACATTAACATCAGCAGATGGAAAAGTCAAGAAGCGTACGGTGCGGCACCAAAGGCACTCTTCTGCGTATTTTCACGTACGGCAGAGAACGTGTTCGTGATCACAGCGACGAATAGATTGATAAGCCAGATGTTCAACACAAGGATGCAGACGATGAAAAAGAAGCAGGAGACAAAAAACTCGGCATCGATGATCGCGTACATGATTGGAGACCACTGAGAGGAGATTAGCGCGGTAAAAATATGAATAAAGAACACGTACGCCATTGGCTGAAGTCACAACGACAACTTGAAGCGCGGCATAATAAATATTGTCAAAGCTCTGGATGCCACTGTATGGATTGTCTCCCTCCTGATCCAAATTTATGAAATCGTCATCTGTCAAGGAAGATCTGAGCGACGGACCTGACAAACCTGCCCCAGGGGGCAGATATAACCCTTGGGCGCGGGGCCTGGTGTACCGTCCAATTGTAAATAAGGATAGACATTCAAAGTAGTCGGGTCAATGTAACCACCGCAAAATTGGGATATTTGCGTCTGATTTTCTCCCAGGGTGGGCTGAAGATAGCAATTGCGTCGAAAAGAACCCTTGAAAGATTGGATCCCAATTATCCTTCGAGAATGATTTACGCTCGATGAACATTCAGAGACCGGATAGACTCACGAGAATAGCACCGCAGCGAAGATAACAAAGTATGCTACGTTAGTAAGCAGCGGCCGAGCGATCTTCAGTGAGTGCATGATTGTCTGTAGAATAGTGTGAGCGCCCATAAACAACATGCCGTCCGCAAACTCACCGTGGTTCCAGAAGTGACAGCGAGAAGTCTTGCTATTCGCAGCACAGTCATCGCTCTGAATGCAGCAACATGATGAGATCCACGCTCCACGCCTGCCATCGCGAGTGCAAAGCTCAACCAGAAGCTGAGAATGGCGATCAAGTCGATTCTTCCCCAGCTCTGACGCAAGTATGGCATGTTACGATACACCTTGTCGCGTGCGTTATCGATATTTAGTCGGAATGGCAGAGAGATCACGTCCGGAGGTGTTTGGTCTGACCGAAGGGCACGTGAAAAGAAAGTTGGCTGTGAGGGATTCCGGAGATGGGCGCGCGAAGGAGGCTCGTCTACAACGGCCTCTTTTTCTTGACGCGAAACATCGCGAGGCAAATTACTTGGACCGACTACTATATCAGCCATCGAGCGCGACGGGGTGGCCTCAGAAAGTTTGAAAGGCCGCGATATACGATCATAGAAGGGCCTTAAGGAGAGGCTGCGTAAAAAGGAACCGGATGCAGAAGAAGTCGACGTAGAGATTATTGGCGATGTCGAAGATACAAAGAAAGCAGATATTGGAACTTCAGGATCTAGCAGAAATCCAGAAACGCATATTCGCGCAACTGCTTCAAACCTAACAGCAGGCATCAGGCTGAGGGTATGGTGACCAGTATGAAACCTACGTGAATAGGATGAACAACCCAAAAAGAACATAATCTTCCCAAGCAAGAAAGAAACCCTTCTGTGGAGTCGGCATGGACTGCTCCGAGGGAAGAAGGACTGAGTGAGATGCTTGAGATATCAATACACAGGCATTAAGGATTATTAAACAAAGTATCAGAGGTTCGGTCCATCTGCAGTGATGATTAATATCGTCGGGCGGGAGAAACCTAGAAGAGGCCTACGGATGAGAAAGGAAGCGATAAAGGCGAAGACGAAATGTGCTTGAGGACTCTAAAAAACCGAGAGTGCGCCCTCGTAAGGGAGTCAGCTTTCTAGTAAGGAACACTTGTTGTTCGTTCCATTGCTCTTCGAAGGGTTCCTTGTTATCTTGTGTGGGAGAGTACTCGCCATCGTCGAAGTCTTCATCCGGTATGCGGATGGAGTTATCCAAGGCATGACCTGAAAGATTAACGACGCGGAGGGACGCGCGTTGAAGGTGCTTCGACATTACCCTGAACGCCGAGCCCGTTCGTTTGAGAGGGGAAGGTGAGGAACTATAACGCAGTGTCCTCCGCCTGGTGGAGCCTGTAGCAGCTCCCGTGCGCTCGGAGTCAATGGTCAAATCATTAGCACTAGCCCAACTCCCATTTTCAAATTTCCATCGAGAGTTGGTGCCGTTGAGATGGACATCGTCTCCATCCTTGGATGAGTCAAAGTCAGACTCCGGAGTGGACATCAACGAAGCGGAGGATGGAGCAGCTTGTGCAGCAGTGTAGGGTAAGTCGTTGTAGACCGACTTCCCATTGTACGCTAATGTGTTTGCAAAGAACCTGTTGTCAGGAGAATAAACCGGGTCCTCATCCGCAGTAAATGAGTGGGTCGATATTCTTGAAGGACCCGCCTCCATAGTTGTTGAAAGATTCGGGCGCAAGGGATCCTGCCCTACGTCTAACCTTGCCCAGCTCGCTCGTCTGCGAGCGACGGAGCGACCACCATCCACTGAAGGATGAAGTGTTGGAGATGGACTCGGAGGAGCTGAAGTGGCAAGGCCTGTGATAGTGACAGTTAAGTCAATAGCAGAAGAAGAAGAACTTTGGGTTGAATGACTGAGAGACGAATGATGTTGGCCGTCCAGAGGCTGGTCATCCATGACATCCATAACTTCATACACGTTCCTTACCCTCATGCAAATATTTAATCACCGGATATTATATATTACCCTTGTGAAACATATTCTTGATTTGGATCATTATTTGATCTGAGTCGAGTCGTCAGTGGTTCTTCAACTTCTTACATATTCTCTTTCATAAGTAATGCAAGACGACGAAGAGGATCTTTCTCTCGGCCATGTTTTCACGGTTTGTGCTAATAGATGCTATCACCCAAAAGATCAATTTATTTGTTCAACTATAGGAACCTCCGCGTCCACCAACACCCCCGCCAACCTTTGCAACATACACTCGAAACACCTTCCCCGATCTCAAAATCCGTCTGGTAGGATCTCATCCGTTATGGGCTCATCATTTGTACTGCTATTTGAACTCTGCATCTACAGAATGTTACTAATTTCTTGCGTTCAATGTAGATGGAATGCAGCATTAGCATTTGCATCATATATAGACTCAAATCCAGAGATAGCACACAATCGCTGCGTACTCGAACTCGGAGCTGGTGGAGGCCTCCCAGGACTCGTTTCAGCACAAAATGGTGCCAAAAAAGTGTGAACATTAACGCCAGTCCCATCGCCTTGCCTCACTTATCCAACAGGTTGTACTGACAGATTACCCGGAAGCGGTACTCATCGATAACTTAGAATTTAACGCGAGAAAAAATCTGTCCCCTGATGAGCAGGATCATGTTGAGACTCAGGTATTTTTTCGGGAGCACTCATGGCTTGCCTGATTATTCATTTTTAGGGATATATCTGGGGCCACCCCGTAGACAACTTACTACGGGCACTCCCAAAGGACCCCGCCTCAACTGGATTTCACTTAATCATATTATCAGACCTAATCTTCAATCACTCGCAAGTAAGTCTGCTATGTGCCATCCAACTACGATGTCTCAACGCATATAGCATGATGCATTATTGAAATCTTGTGATATGTGCTTGATTTCCCGCTCCGCAAACAATGATACTTCAATTGCACCATGCGTGCTGGTTTTCTACTCTCATCATCGACCGCACTTGGCAGACCGGGATCTTGATTTTTTCCGCAAAGCTCAGGATGCAGGCTGGGTTTGCGAGGAGATAGTGACACGCAAATATCCGGTCCGCTTAATCCACACATCGGTGAATTCTTTTCTGATGGTTCAGTTTCACAGCCCATGTTCCCGGAAGATCCAGGCGAAGAGGAAGTTCGTGCTACAGTACATGGTTGGAGGATGACCAGGGGGGATACCGGCGATTTTCCTCACTGAATTTTGATTTAGCGCATTGATAAAGTCTACTTTCATTCCAGGTAGGTGCTACAGCACCCCTCATCGTTTGTAAGACTTCCCATGACGCGCCCCACATGATATGGTCACATCTATAATTGAGATCCAGGTCCAGTGGGTAATACTTTGATAAATAGATTCCGAGTGATAAGCACGAAACGTGACAGACATTTCCCAGCGTTCCTTATATGAATCGGATTACTGTCTGACCTAGTAATAAACTTTGTTTCACTACCACGTGCGTGTTGAATCATGCTATTCCTCAAGTCTTGACGACTGGAGAAGAACCAACAGGCTGGCTCGTGGCTGCGTATGTAGGTGACTACGGGGCATTCGACTGGTTCGTGTCACCATATCCAGGTGACTGCGGAGCACTCTGCTGGGGCGCCGGAGCAGGTGTTTCCGCGTCAGTGTCTGCAGGGGCAAGTTACACACATGACATGCGCAAAATTCTCAAGTACTCACATCGATAGCTGCCCCTGGCACGTCGCTCCTGAACGTTGGCACGCCTGAATACGAGCCAGAGCGCGTGCTATGTGTTCACAAGAGGTAAGTTACAACAATCACACAGACGAGCCAAATTCCGCACGATGAGTCCAGGAAGGTATCCGAGCCTGGCAGTAACAAGGCATGAGTGAAATACAAAGTTTGTAGCGGGGAGAAGAAGTACTTACAAAGTCAACAAGATATTCACGAGGAGATCACAACCGCAGCCTGAGATGAAAGCTGCTGCAGCAGGGGGGAAGATAACGGCGACCTGTTCATTCCCTGTGTGAGCATATCAAGTAGACTTGCTTGCGCAACTTGAAGAGCGGCGTACGATAATGAGTACGCAGTCAGCAGCGCCATTGGATTCCATGGTGTCGCGGTCTGGGTGAGGTGGGGATTTGTGCGACAGCGTGTGCTTTTACACGGTCTCACTGTGAGAATCTGTGGCTATAAGCTAGAGTTTTTGTAAGGGTTAGTTGGTTTACTATAGGGGGCGGTCCAGACTAGAAGGTTGGTGAACTATTTTTGGATGCTGGCTATTATGTAAGACGCTCCACTCCCACTCTAGTCAGCCATGAAAAATAAAAATCGTTAATAGTTACATTATAGTTCTTCCAGTGCTTCATGATCAAGCTTCTGGAATTTCGTGAACGAAAGCACAACGTTAGAAGTGTAAAATTTGGTATCGGATAATTCCACAAAAAGTAAAGAAAAGAAGTAATAAATACAACATCAGAAATCCGAGACACGCAGAGACAAACGGAAATTCACAATCCAAGTCATCATCCAGCGATAAATCAACATTACACCGTCCACCCATCCACCCCTCTCCTCAAATGGAGAAAAACGGCTGCTCTGAATTCTGGCTCTGCTGCTGCTGTTGCAACTGGAAGGGGTTGTTTTTGGTCCCAAATCCTGTCTTCTGTGCTGCCAGCAAACCTGCTTGCGTGTGCCCGTAACGCAGTGCGCCGACATTTCCGAATGTATCTTGACCATCATCACGGTTGGCAAACAGACTGGCAAGATGCGAGTGCTCTTGGTCTGTCCGATTCGGACCACCACGACCCGCACCTGCGCCAGCGGATGTGTTGATACCCGGAGCTGGAGAAGGTGACGATACTTGTGAGGGCACAGGTGAAGAGTTGTAAGAAGGTGCATTGGAGTTGGAATAAGTTCCTTGAAGATTGAACGACGGTCCAGAGGTGCTATTGACTGGTGTCCCTGATGATAGTGGGACAGGCGAAGAAGCAGGAGCGAAGGGGTTATTGGAACTGAAAGAGTAAAGATGAGGTCACCGCAACGATAAATCCACATCAAGTGATGACATACCCGAATCCAGTTGGTTGCGCAAATAAGACTTGCTGCTGCTGCTGCTGTTGAGCTTGAAGTTGTTGTTGTCGGAACCACTCATCTTGCGCCGCTTGTTGGGCTAGTTGTTGAGCTTGTGCTTCTTGCTGTTGACGAAGCCATTCTTGTTGTTGCCTCAAATACTCTGCCTATTAATGGATCGTTCAATCAATCCACAATAAGACCAGATATTACCATACCTGCATTGCTTCCTGTTGTGCTTGCTGTTGGTACGGGTTGAATGATGTAAACTGTGGCTGCATCGTGTATTGAGGCTGAATAGTATACTGCGGTTGCATCTGGGGCTGAGGTTGCAAGCCTGTTGCATATGGAGTAGGGTCGATAAAGGGAAATGGATTGTTGCTGTTGGAACCGTTCGGGGAGGATCTGGAATGGACGAGGCCATCAGTTGAAATCGAGCACGCATATGGACTAACGTACATTTGTGCTTGATCATCGAATAACGCGTGAGCATTTGAGTCTTCAACGGCCTTATGTCTTTTCGCCTCCTCTTCCTCACTTAATCGTATTGCTGTGGCAAGGTCTTGCTCTTCAGCTTTCCGGCCCTGTTCCTCTGCAAGAGTCCTTTTCGATGCTTCGATCGCCTTACGGAGCTCGTCTTCGTCGCGATCGGCGCCACGGTTGGCCTTCCGTGGGGGCGTTCCAGGAGGAGGTGCAAAGCTCCTCCTCCCACCATCTTCGTCGTCTTCTCCATAACCATTGCTTTGCCCTCTTATCATTCTGTCGCGCATGCTTGCCCGAGTACGGCGCTCCTCCTGTAGACGTGCTGGATCACTAAGAAGGTTGGAGATATCTTTGGCCTTTTGCCGGACGTTGGCACCACAATCTTTCCCATCTTCATCCAAATATTGAAATTCCTTGAGCGTTTTTATGATGTATAAATTGTCACGGAAGTATAGGACGACATTTTCAGAACCAGCGTGTAGGAGGTAGTCCAGCACGGTGAGTGACTGGGAGGGAGTTTGAATTCGGGTCCTCCATCCGAAGCAAGGTAGCTAACCTTGAATACATGTCGCCAATTCTTGCCTTTATCATTCAACCTTTTATCAAGCATTTCCATGATCTCGACGAAGTCGTTCCTGTGAACAAAAGCGCATCCGAGTCAGCACTCCCGGTGAACTACAACCACCAGGTAAGCTGCCTAGCGATCACGCACTGGTTATACGACAGCTGAGCGATCTCGTTCATCTGAGTTCCTGATGGCCCCCATGGATCATTGGATGTCGCATCCCGGACTTTTGCCTGTGTGTCTGAATAACCCTTGGTGTAATTTTTGGCGACACGAAGGGCACCCTTGCCAAAGTGCTGGAGCGACATTAGACTGTATCGTGATTTGCAGAACAGAAGTTCTACAGATTATCAAGCTTTGCTTTATGTAGTCAATTAGAGAAGTGAGCGCGGAGCGGATCGTGGTCACTGTCAGTGGGATGAATTGACAGACGTGATAACTGCGGAAATCGCCGACCCAGCTTGGAATATGTTGCAAAAAGTAAATAAAAACACACGCCGATGGTGAAGCGGTTATCATGCTTGCCTTCCAAGCAAGCGGCAGGGGTTCGACTCCCCTTCGGCGTATGTCTTTTTCGACAATTTCTGTAAGCACGCCGGCTTACCTGAGTTTCCATAATCAGTACATATACCGCCGCTGATGCTGAAAGCTAACTTAAAGTTAATCGAGCTGCGTCCTCGCTCGAGCGTTTGGTTAGGTTGCTAGATATGCCTTCCCCTTGGCTGCACCTTTCATTATTTTACGTCTCTGATGGAGCCTATGCTGATGGATTAGATTGAGCATACAACTAAGGCTCAATGCTCACTTCACTCCCATTCTACACATTCCAAATGTTTTTGCCAGTTATTCGTACTCACTCAACCACGCATGGTATCGTTGTCCAAAGTGGAATCAAAAAAAAGTCTGTAGTACAACCGACAACAAGAGGATAAATACTAATATATTGTAAGATCTCCCATCTATCACAAATATCAGAAACACAAACACATCATACACGATTCCTCCCCCGTCTCTCATACTCAACAAGCATATCCACCGCACGATCCCGTGAATCCTCCAACTCATCTCGATCCTCCCTCTGTTCCTCAAATACACTCGACCCCAACGCCCGACGCAACTGCATCACCACATCCTTCTGCGACCCTCTTGTAGGCGGACTGGGTGGGGGAGACAATATGAACGAAACCTCATTATTGGTGTCATCGCAACACAGAATCCGGGATGGGAAGATCCGCCGAAATAAAACGATGGTGTTCAGCATGATTTTAATGTCCTCATCGTCTATGACTAGGTCTTTCACGTCCAACACGCTGCTCGCCCATACTTTGGCAAATGAGTCAGAGATGGCGCAGATGGCGCCGCCTAGGCTCCGCCCTGCATTGATAGTCTCGTTCCATCTCGCTGCTAGCTCTGGGTCGTGGGATAGAGAAAGAGCACCACTGTGCGAACGAGTGACGGTCTGCACGAAAAGTTTGGATGTGTGGGAGCAGAGACGTTGACGGAGGAGGGTCGTGGCGAGGGCACCGAGTGGCGTTAGGGATGTGGTGGGAGTCGAGGACGTGAGTGTCTGAGCAGCTTCCTCGAGGGAGAGCGTTTCTAGCACCAACCGCTCGTAAGGGCGAATCACCCCAACACGAGCACGGCGCCATAATCTCTGCGAGCGATCCTTTATGTAAAATGCTGGGAGTGAATGGGCAAGGAGAGCCAATGTTGCCAGATCACTTGCGTGTTGTGTTGTTTTGCCAGATGCACCTAACAAGAACGAAAGACGCAAATAGACTTGAAGACGTAGAAAGACTGGAGCTGAGGCGGGGTGAAGAGCAACGAGTTCGGCTAAGCGAACCCATGCCCTGCGCTCAAGCTCAGAGTCGAAGGTCTCGTTCACCACACGCCTGATGAAAACGTTTCGGACTGCTCCAAGTGCACTGGTGCTCAATCCTAGTGCATCAATGAGAGCATCTCGTTCATCTCGGGAACCGCTCTGAGCAAGTGCATCTGACAATGGACCTTGCTCTTGACGGGTGGTTCTCTCAGTGATGGTGGAATCTGCATCTGACTCTGAGTCGCTGATATCAGGGGAAAGAGGGGGAGAAAGAAGTTCTGCCCCCTTGTGAGCTGTGAGTGGTGCTCGATTGCTGATTAGATAACTAAAGGGTATGAAGCGCATGATCTTGGCACGTTGAACATATCCTGGAAGAGGTAGCCATGGGATAATGATTGTGAACAGAACCAGAATAGATGCGAGCAGATGGATGGTTTGTACGGCACTGCTCCATGACCACAACGTAGCAGTAGTAACAGGTGTAGAATCAGTGACGTGGGATAGCACCGAACCTTGGTGCGTGTGAGGATAGGAAGCACCTGCTGAGTTGAAGGGCGAGTTGAAAAATGAGAACAGCGCAAAGACAGCAAGAAGGTACTGCTGGGGCTGTGCCTGCATAGTAACATCGCCCTGGACTGGACACACTAACAGAGTCGCTGAACAAGACAGGTGCGGCAGCGACAATTGAGGGCGGAGCGCCAGGTTGGATCTTACGGGGTCGACCTCGCTTGCGCTTTTCCGGTACTGCTCCGGGGATACCCTCGGAGATGGTTGTGGGTGTAACAGCAGCAACAGAAACGGTAGGCAGTTTATCCTTCTTGGCCGCAGGTGCTTTTGTTAACTTGGGCTTCTTGCGGACGCGCTCAGCGTCGTCACCCTCGTCTTCACCATCGCCATCTTCATCATCACTTGCTTCATAGGCTTCGGCATCATTGTCGATTTCATCGCGTTCTGGGCCTCCAAATTTTTTGGCCCATTCATGATCCCATTCAGCAAGGAGAGGCTGAGCACCGGGAATTCCAAGGATGAGGGTACGCAGTCCTTCTTGCTCGCGCCTCAGCCTGATCTCACGCCTTTTCAAGACGCTATTACGACAGTCAGCGCAAGAATGATTACATAGGGGATAAAATTATCTGACCGGATATACTCGACTGCTTTTCCGAGTACATTGGCTTTGCTTCCTTTCCTCGCGACCTTGACACCGTCAATGTACCCACGTTCATCCACAACATCACCTTCTTGGGTAGTATTTTGGTCTAGAACGCGAAGAGCAGGGACAGAGGCCTTGAGGCTCTGGATGCGCGCGTTAAGATTTGTACGGTAACGGCGCTCGATGGTTGTGTGACTAGTCTTTGGGCGGCTAATGACAGCAGCACCTGCTATCTGAGTGTTAGGTGCAGATGATCCAGAGTCAGAAGTGGGAGTAGTTGGACCAGGGGAAGGAGATGATGACGCCGAAGATGAAAGGTAAGGTTGAGGTTCCTGCTTGTGTTTCGGTGGTTTGGAGGAAGGCAATGCCGGAATAGAAGATATGAGCCGGGGTATGGGCAATTTTGCTTGCATAACCACTCCAGAGAATGGGTCTGTCATATTTCATGGATAAAAAAAATAGCTAGTGAGAGATAAAGACCAACCTGTACCCGAGCTGATCGGTACCATGACTGGAGACATGGATGTACCGGATGAGATGCTCATCCGGGGTGATTTTTCATCGGCCGAGCTGGAAGAAGCTGATGCAGAGCTCAGGGTAGGCGATGAGAAAGTGAACGGAAAAGAGGACAGTAAATCCTGGGGCTGTATATGAAGGGAGTTCATGTCGAACATAGTCTGTGGAGATGTGCTATGATAGTGCAATGCACTTGGGTCGACAGCCATGGACAATGCAGCATTGAGGTCAAGGTCCATGGGAAAAGAGAAGTCGAAAGAGCCGCCAATATCAGGAAATTTTGAGTTCTGGTCAGGATTCAAGTCCAAGGGCTGTTGCGGCCAGAGAGAGGAAAACTGAGACCAGTCTGGTGGAGAAGACGCTTGGGATGAGGAGGTTTCTGAATCTGATAGATTATTTAAGAGTATGGTGAGCGGATCACTGAGTTCATCGTTTGAAACGTCGTCGACGTGACGTTCACCGTCCATATTCAATGCGCTTCTGCCAGTGGGAGAGCAAAAGGCTAACCGCAACCAATGCTCGTGCTAGTTATAAGAGGTTATTGTAATCGTGCCACTTTCTGAACCACGAAGTCGCGCCATTTCCAAATTATTTCCAAAGTAGGAAACTTATTCTCACTGTACGGTGTTCGGGTAACAGTCACTGAAACGACCAGGTGAAAAGCTTCGCCGACGGTCACCGGCTTTCACACCCTTTGCGTTCATTGAATGAACACCACATGGTCAGTGACCAGCAGAACACTAGTGGGTATCGCACCAAGGTAACGACCACAGCGCGCAGTTTTCTGGCTTCTCGGCCCTCTAGAAGTATTATAAAGGCGAATGCCTGGACGAATACGTCCAAGTGTCTTCCGTACTCCGATCGAGTTGTAACTAGTCCAATTGGTTTTGCAAGGCGGCCTACTGGAAACAGTGATTGCCGAAAAGTTATCATGAAGCAAACACGTTAACGTATCTACCTTGAAATCGAATGCCTGAATATATAGTCACTCGGAAGGGAGTGAAGCCGCATCCAGCAAGCGTGCCAGGGCCCAGCTGGTCCCTTGGAAACGGACTGCAGGGACGCATGATAGCTCGCGTCGCGTCTGTGAGTTAGTCACGTTACCCTGCGAATCCACTCAACCTCCACCTTCCCTAGTCGCAGTGCTACCCAAAAAACCTGTCTATCGATTGCTTGAAGTGAGAGAGAAAGGTAACTAGAAAGGAGAGCCCCCAGGTCCTCATTCAAAGTCATGTGACCTAAAGCTTTGACAATGAACTTGATAGTCTCAAAGCTTGTCCAAAAAAGGAAATCAATTGACCTTCAAGAAATCGCGGTTTCGGTTGCTCAGCTTCGTGTGTTTCTTTCGTGCTCGACGTTTTATCGAGAATTTCAGTTGTTGACAAGTCGTTGATTGAGCTCGTTGCAACTGGTCAGTTCATTCAGTTTCGCTATATTGATTAATAAATCTGATTGTTGCAACCACATCATATCACAGGTACCGCTTTTTTCTTACTACTTACCGCTTTCAAACCCTGCTCAGCATCTATTCAAGTTTCATCTTTTGTTGCGTTGACAGGAAAACCGCGGATGACCTTTGTCTGGTTCAAAGGCTAGATTTTGAACTCACTGCAGGAACCCAGTGATTTTTACTCCTTTTCGCCTTGACGCACGCCGTCCCATTCATTTACTTCGAACTCTCTTTTACATTAATATGTCACACACAATCCCCCAAGTCCGCAGACGTCCCACGAAGCTTAGGCCATCCGGAGTAAGACCAGATTCTAGTATCGTTCGCGCGTCAGTTTTCGAGACTGCCCTTGAGCTTGGGATCCATAATTCCACCGTTGCAAATTGGATATTCAATAGCCCCTTGCCCGAGGAGTTGGAAGAGTTGGAGGATATTCCTACTGAAATAGAGGCACAAGAGGTACGTTGTCACTATCTCAGATGTAAATGAATGCTTGACCAAGCTCTTTCATCCACTTCATCACCGCTGCGTTCACTCCCGCAGACCTTGACTCCTGCCCTCACCTTTGGCTCGCATACTACGAGTGATGAGTCGTCAACGACGTCCTCCCCGCAAAGCAACGTTGCATCCGCAAGGCAGATACACACGCACAAGCCGAGCGTGTTCGAACCTCTCCACGTGCACTTCAATGATTTTGCTTCCGCGCAGCTGACTCTATCATTGCCTCCACTGAGTACGTCAGTCAATGAGAAGGAGAGGCCCGGAAGCATGTCCAATTTGTCTGGCAAGCCGTCAAATGATGTGGGACACCCATCGAATGAGGACATCACACGTCAGACCGACCGCAAGTGTGCCACACCGAGTTCCGCAAGGTCTGAACCGGGGTATGTGAGCGATGGTCAATATCTTTCTGACAGCGCTGGTTTCAAAAAATCTGGCAAACTGAAAGGAAGGGGCAAGAAAGGAAAGCCGCCAGCCTTGGACTTCCGTTCTGGTTTTGATGAAGCGCCTGACTATTCTTCGGATGGAGGTTATCTCTCTGCTTCATCAAGCAAGTCGCAAGGAAAGTCTAGTAAGGGTAAATCTAGGGCAATGGCGTTCTTTCGGAGGAAGCCAAAGAAGCCGCGAGCCAGCGATGAAGAAGATGATAACTACATACCACCAGTTCCTGCGATGCCTCCGATAGCAGTTCCTTCGAGTCCAAGACCTTTGAAGCATCTTGTTGCAACACCCTCATCCCCTACGCGATCTGGCTTCACACCACTGAAGCTAAACTTCAACACCTCGACTCGAGCGTCAAGTCCCGTCTTAAACCCAAGAAAAGACCGCGCCAGTCCCCCACTTGCTCGAGTAGTGGCACCTTCCTCCATTCCCACTCCTCCTCGACCATCCGAGCAGACAGTAACTTCGATGCCGTCGCCTTCGCCTTCGCCTGTGCCTCCGTCTACACCTCCTCTCGCTCTTCCGTCTATGCCGATATCTCGCCCGTCAACTCCCAGTACACCCCTTAGTGTGGTACCGCCTATCTCACAGGCTCCTGCAACTCCAGTTCGTTCATCCCCGATCGCCTCTCCCCGGAATATCGCTATTCGTCCTGCGGCTCCTCCACCTACGCAACCATTGCCACAGCCACCTCCATCTCCCATGCCATCCATGTCGTCACAAAGGGCTCCTGGACCACCACCTATGCAAGCACTACCTCCGGTTCCAGTGCGTCCGCTTCCCATGCCACCATCTACGCCGACGACGCCCTCGAGGAGACTGCCGCCTTTCCGACCGGCTGCAGTGGTACCTGGCCCTACAGCTCCATTAGTCCCTCGCCGGCATCCACAAGCTCAGTCCCGCATTCTATCCTCTCCTCGTCCACAGCCATCACATAGCGCATCTGATTCAGTTGTCCCGCAATACAAGCATGACAATAGTGAGGCGTCACCGAGGAGGTACCAGAGCCACAGTGTTGCCCCCAGTGATGACAGAACCAAGAACCACCCTCCCGGGCATGGTGGTATGGTACGGAGACAGCATTCAGAGATGCCACCACCTCCATTTCTCCAGCGGCGCATGCATGGCGTGCAAGGATCCCCGCGGCATCCACCCCCAGATTCACCTCTCCCACAGATTCCGAATGCGCACCCCATGCATCCTCCAGCATTCCCCTCAAAATTTCATGAACACTTTTCGTCCGTGTCGTCAATGGGTTATACTTCGCCTGCTCTGCGCAGTACCAGTGGGTCCGGCTCCTCGTCTGGCCCGTCTGTTCGCTCCATACGCTCTTCCAATGCCCCATCAGTATCCACTTCTGATAGTCACGGCCGCTCGAGTCGCCATTCGGAAGGCGTCGTAGATACGCATCCAGACAAAAGATCTTCGTTACATTCAGAGTCCAGCTACGGGAAGCGAAACACGGCCAGCATCGCTTACTCACAGTCACAGTCGTCCGTGCTCGATACCCGCAGCGACATCAGTGCCAGCGTCTACGATGAGCGTTCAAGCACACATGACGAGGATGGGGGAAATGATCCCAAGGGCGCACATGCTGACGATGAAGATGATGATGATGCATCGCTCTATCCCTCAGATGAGAAGACGGCTGGTAGGCGTACAATGTACCTGGTCGAAAATGGCCAGGCTCTGGAAGAGGATGGAGATGTATTCCCACCCCCATTACCGCCCCCGGTAGGAGGATACTTTTAACTAACGTTGGGATATAAGTTACCATTCGCTTTAACTTATCTGCTGTTTTTGGCTTTCTTTTCTGGTTGCTTTTTCGCTCGTTTTCTTTTCGTTTGATGGTTGGCTTTTTTGATAATTCTAATAGCGCAAGAACTCGAGACATTGATATCTGCTCGATGCAGTTGTGATACTAGTAGATACGATCTTGATGTTATGGTAATAGGTTAATGGCCTAGCACTACTGGGACATCCACCGATGGCCTCACGCTGTAGGCTGGAAGCAATTTGATCCTGCTTTCTTATCTATACGCCATTAATATTGGTTTGTCGGCAACTTGAAATTCCACATAGTATAATGTCGTCACCTTCGCCTCCGCTATACCATGCACACCGTTATGAAAGGTTCCTGGGGCATGTACCGTAAGCACGCGTCCATCTACACCGACAATGCCCTCGCAGAAACTTCGACCGTTCCGACCGGTTGTAGTGGTGCATAGCCAATAGCCATACGGCCCAACTAGTCGCTCGCAGGACTTCATAAGCGTGTATTATTTGTGTCCCGCAGCTCACTGCGGACGTTGAGACCCAGTGCTTGTTATGAGTGCCACACCATGCAGACTATATGTGGCTCCGCTACGACCTCATGGCTGTACTAGTACAGTCGCGGCCCGACTGGCTGGTTGTGTACTACCTTTCATTTCTGTCTACTCACCTCAAATCATATGCTTCATCCATGCGTACTCGTGTCGAGAGCATTAATCACTTCAAAACGTAGCCGAAAGATCAAAAGAGTTCAGCGCAGAGCCTCCACTTTGACGAGTAGCCTCTAGAAAAGCCCACAACCTAGACACGCGCAGTAAAATTTATTCATAGGCAAGGTCCACGAGGATAGTATCCCAGCATAGCTTTTCGGAATGCATTCGCAGGGCTGCGACAGTGCTTCAGATTCACCGCTTCCTATCCACAATCAGACCCTGCCGACCCTGGCTGGGTCTGGTGGCATCAAATACCTTGAGAAGGCAACTCCCGTACATCAGAAGACTTCGACTGGTGGGATTTCTTGACGAAGTTTATTTCAACGACTACGAGATAGCGGGGAATTGTATAGTGCAACTTGAAAAAGTTATTTGTTAGTCACGTTCTCATCAGCGCCATAGGCGTGCAACGACAAATGTGCAATGACTTCCCGCGTACAGCTGCCTCTAGATGACATCCAGTGGGCTTCTAGAAGTTAACCAGATCCACAGTCGTCTAGGTATCTGTTGTTATGATGATCTCGTGTTTGATCGAGTTCTGCGGCTCTCGCGTTTTTCGTCGTAAGCAGCCGTGACTAGCTCGTCTTAGACAATAAGTCGCATACCTTTTTAGATGAGGAGATTAGTCACATCATAGCAATTGAAAAGAGGACAAACGACACGGAGCAACCTTAAGCTCCAGCAGCAAGGGAGCCGCGTTTCTCAGGCCACTAAACATCCAAGTGAAGTAACGAACATTTCATTCATGATGAAGGTGTATTCAGTATATTACAGCTTACAATCTATTGTAGAGAAGAAATCAGCAGGGGAGGGCAGGGTGCAAATGTAATCTTGCCTCGACTCGAAAGTTCAGACCTTGGTGGGCTGTGTCTGAGACTGTTGTAGTTTAGCTTGCATTACATTAATGAGGTAGCTCATATTCTCCTGTTTCTTTTGTATCGTTTCTTGTAGCGTATCGAGATTAGTGCGGATATATTCCACTTTTGTTTCATAATATTTTGTTGCCTGTGCCCGAGACTGTACGGTCGTCTAATCAGCGGTGGACTGTAATATAAGACCTCGCACATGCCTTCTTCACGTAATATCCTGTACCGATGTCGACGATCACATTCTCCGCATCGCTCAAGTGGCCAGGAACATACAGGGAGTTGGTCAAAGGAACGAGGACAGTTGTTCCTGCACGAATAGAATCAAGTAAGAGCTTAAGGACAAAAATGTCGATGTACCTTTGTTTTGAGGTTTAACTTCTCCGACATTCTCGATACATGACTTAAACTTCGCTTGTGCCTGCTTCAGCTGAGCGAATGAATTTGTGAGGTGGTTCAGCTCCTACAACGCAATCAGAGATGCAGGAAAACAGAAATATCATTGAGGTACCTCTTCTAGCTGGCGGCGCACATCAGACAGCTGTTGGATATCGAGATCGGCAACATTGATTTGTTGAGGCTGCGATGAAGTGGTTGAAGCCATTGCTGATTTAGCGTGACAGGAGTGTGACCGATGGTCTCTTCAGCCCGTGACATTCATAGTTAAACGGTTGCTGCCTGCAGTAGCCTGTGCATGCGCGGCTGCAACCATGTCCAACGATGCCATCGACTCAAGAGGAAGAACACCTCAGGATATAGGTCTGTTGTTGAGTCCAAAATTACAAGAGCTCAACTGATATCCGACTATCCAGTTGCTATCTTTCACGCTTCGTTTCACCCGACGAAGGGTAATCTTGTGGACTGGTGTTTAAAGGCCAGCGATGGTCTGTTTGCAATTTTCATATCGGTTAGCGACTTAAACATGCTTCAGACCTTGAGCTCGATGGTGTTGAATTCAGCACCCTTCCCAGTGGTCTCCACCTCGTAGACCAGGATGTGGTGTATGTGCCCTACGCCCATACCACATCTCTACTTATCAGAGTTCAATAGATACTTCACGAAGGATACCCATTCCGGCATATGTGTTTTTCGTCGACGGAGGACCGCCGACCAAGGCCACCGCGGGTTTCGACTGACGTCTCTCGGAGTTCTATTAGCCAAATCTACTCGCTCTCGTCCGTGGCGGCATGTTGCTGCCCTTCGGACTTTAGCCGACTCCATCTATCTCTCGCTAGAAATCAGAGGTGTTTTAGAACCATCCGAAAGCGATTGGGAACCCGCTCGTGTTTTCTTCGAAGAACGCAAGGTTCGACGAGCAGATCTCGGTGGTGTTGGCGAATGGTATGGTTGGAGCCATGAACTTGATAATGTGCGATGCAGCATGAGTCTTTCCTTGTGTTTCTCTGACCCTAATATATAGCCGGATCCAGAATTGTCTCGATTTAATCCCACCATGCACCTCTCACATTTGTTGCGCATCCTAGGGCCTTCGGCATTGACGTTGTACAAACATGTCCTTGGGCGCCGGAGAATACTTATATACACGCTCCCGCCGGTTGAAGCCGCGTGCATACTATGCCACGTGGCTGCAGATATCTGTTACGCAGCTCAACTTGACCCATCCACTAATGACATCAATGAAAGTGACCCGGCGACACAGTATTATACGAGGCTTAAAGGCAAAACACAAGAGGGCATTCATGTTCTTGGCATGGTTACTCTCAACGACCTTGACAAGATGGATCGCGAGGGCAAAACTGGTCGAGGTTGGGTTGCTTGTAAGTGATGACATCATAGTTCTCGGCGTGCCCCCTCATTTGGTTTGAAAGGCACGACTGATGCTATTTTTCTGGACAAACCATCTTACTACGACCTTCTAATCGATCTAACAACGTCTACGCCCTCCAAAACTTCACGACCAACCTTATACCTCTCAAAGCCGCAGTCGCAACCACCTGGTTCCAAAGGGCCCACACATCGTTTAACCGTCTTTCGGTTCACGTGGAGTGATATAAGGCTGGTACGTATCATTTGCAATCATGGCTCTGTATCAGTGTTGAACATACCGGACAGTGGAATGAGCTTGAACGCATTCTGCAGCTAGATGGCGATCAATGTGTACAGCCATGCTGCCGCCCCTCACCTGAAACCGATGCGAGAAATAAACCCTCATCTTCGTGGGCGGATCCTTGGAGAATATATGAAGACGTGTGTATTGTATGTGCTGGGCTCTGGATGGGGTCCTGGCGCGGCAACTCAGTTGCGTCCTATTCCACTGGCAACGGATCCCTCGCCAACTGGGGCAGCATCAGATTAGAAGGTGACGACGACCTTACTGTTGACGGAACATTTGTGCGTAACCTGGGTATGGGAATTGAAGGGTGTCCTGGTGGAAGCCCAAACTCAAAGGGAATGAGAAGGTCCAGCGGCATGACTTGGCCAGCTGGAAATACTAGTGCTGACCGTCGCCAGCCTTCGTCATCCTCCGCTGCTACGCGATCAATGCCACAGTTATGCGACAATGGTAATGACACAGATCCAGAAACCAGCGAACGACGTGATCGTCAGATCCTAATGACACTCGCGCTACTTCAAACCTTCCACGCCAACACCAGCTTCCAACTCTCTCGCCTAGTTGATCTACTTCCTTCTGTCACCTCTGGTACACCAGAGACTTCGATTATCTACATTACTCCAAAAGATATGGTATCATTCGAGCTTGGCCCTTTAAGCTCTCTTGATGCCCGTTATCTAGAGTGGTTAGCTGACGAGTATGGTGCAGGATCACAGATCGTAGTGAAGAGGGGATGGAAGGATTTATTTGGAATGATATTTGGCTTTGGTTGACATACATCGACTCTCGCTGAGAAGACGCGGTGTTTTATATTTGTCAATTTGCTTTGTTGACACCTTGATACCCGACAAAATGTAGTGTTACACCCTATTAGATCAGTTCCCTGCCTTGAGGCTTCATTAATTATGCAGGTCTCAGATTTAGACTGGAGTCCCACAGTGTGCTGACTAAGTGTAAGGTCACCACGATGTAAGCCGCACTAGAACTCAAAGCTGTACTATCTGTCCCACGACCAGCAGCCTACATCGAGAGTTATCCTCTTCTTCCTTGCAATAATCTTCTAGTCGCATAGTGAATGGCGGAGAGCAAGGTAAGCTCAACGGGATTGCTAAGCATCTTTTCACCCCCGGTTAACTTTTGTCGTTATGGTATGTTGCAGGGTCCCACAACTAACGGTTCAGTGAACAAGTTCGCCATGTCTCGAGCGCTCGGGGCTGCATTTCTAAGCCACCAAGTCGAACAACTGGAGAAATCAGTTACACGTGGGCCAGCATCTGGAAACTGGAGAGACCGTCGTCATCCGCAAGCCGACTCGGGTAATTCCAATCGTCGCGGTGTTATCAACCACACACCCAAGCAGCGCCCATCTTCAGGCAATAGGTCCACGAAGAAGTCTGCTGCTGAAGCTGTAGCTGAAAGAGAGCATATCGAGGTCAAGGTTCAAAAGCCCAGGAAATCGAGCGAGGAAGCGAGGGGCGACAAGGACGCTGATATAGTAGTGGTTGATGCGAGTGTATTGGTACATGCCCTCCACCAGGTGAAGAAATGGTGCAGAGATGGACGTGATGAAATCGTTGTTGTACCCCTTGAAGGTCAGCTGGGGCATTATAGGTGTTTTGTCAACTGACGTGAGGTGGCTTAGCCTTGAATACTCTTGATTTACTCAAGAAGGGAACAAGTCCTCTCGCCCAGCGCGCGCGTTCAGCTTCACGAATCTTAGAGGCTCAAGTTGGTACAAATCCTCGTATCCGTGTTCAGCGAGATGATGCCTTCGTTCCGTGGGACCGCATCGAGTTCAAGGACTTGACACCAGATGATTCTAAGGACAAGATTACATCGCAGCCACTCCACCTCTCTGGTTCTCCAGAGTGGGTTCGGCGCATGATTTGCTGCGCACGTTGGGAAGTTGATCACGTCGCTGAAACTCGTGCTTCAACGAGCGACAAACTAAAAGTCGTTCTTGCTATCCTTTCCCCTTCTGCTGCTCCAGCTCAGGTTGGTCGAACTGAGGCAATGCCCGAACTCTCCTCTCCGGTACCCCTTCCAGCTCCGAGTCCACACACTCACAAGTATGAGCCTCGTTCAGCTGGCCTATTGATCGGACATTGGGCTACTCGGGCTGGTATCACTCTCTTAGAAGTGGAACCTTCCGCATCGCCATTTGTCCCGCCTTCATCAAACCACCCTCGTAATCCTGATGATGACGATAGAGGAAAACGACAGGCTGGTCGAGGTAGACGTAATTCCCATACTGCTCCAGGGGGTCTTCCTATCGCTCGAGGCACCGGGCTAGTGGAGCGCCCTGCTGCCGTTATGCAAATGATGGAGGTGGTCTCTCAGCCTAGCAAGGTCGTCCGTGTTCTTGCTAGAGGCGAGAAACTGGAACCAGACCCATAATCCTGATTATGTGACATTTTTGAATACAAGGTGTGTTCACTTTAGCTTATGGAAGTTGACTACTGATCAACACAGTAGAGGTATATGCCTGTTCTTCGGTTCCAAGGCCGTTCCAGCTCCGTCTCGATTAACGACGTCATGGAAAGTATTGGAAGCCTCACAGATCACCCATACTCGCTCTGCCTCATTCCTCGGAGCATGGATTCTGCAGGAAATATCTCCAGGCATCTTTGTGTGGTCTCTTTGCTTCGAGTGTGCAGTCCTTATGATGGTCTAACCACAGCAGTTACGGAACCAGCGTTCATGATAACTTTTAACTGGTTCCTATCATCCTACAAACACTTTGATTCACTGTCTGCGGACTGTCCGATGTGCCCCTACTGTGTATGTTCTATGTCCTCGTGATCCTATTTCTCGAAATAAACTATATTTTTGTGTCCCTGGTCGGCATCCGTTCTTTTGGACCGGTCGCAAGGGATAGCTCTGCCGATGTCCACCGGTCTGTAGTTGGTTATTTTTGAAGCCTGAAAAGCCGGACAGGCATCAGATGAATCTTAGCGAACGAACATAATAATATTCTGATGGATAATCACTTCAGCATAGGTGAACACTGGCAAATATAAATTCGTCGGGTAGCTCACGACAAACGTGTAATTACATAATTACCGATGCGCCAAGGAGTGACGGGCGACGGGCGTAGTACGTACATTCATGTTGGCATTGTTGGGCATGTTCACTCACTCATCGATGTTTCATTGTTCAAAGGATTACACGAAATATGCACATTAGCATAGAAGAAATATAGATTCGTCCAGCAGTTCATGCCAAGCTCGATACATGCAGCCATCACAGCCAGAAAATGACGTGAGTGCACTTGTGTCGACGTTCAACGTGCATATTCAACACTGACATTTGTAAATGTAAACTTATGCATTCAAAGCATTCTGCAGAACAGAGCATGGGTGAGCAAACTTGAATATGTCGAATTCATCCACCATTATTTATAACCAGCTGCCAACATATTTAAGACACAACTGCCAGTACAACCTGAATTTGAGGAGGGGTAGCGACGTTCTCATCATGAAGGTTAATCAAATCATTGCCATCACTGTCATTGTCGTCCCCATCATCCAACACCCGATCAACCTCAGCCGTAGGCCCGCCGGGTACTCCTCGTCATTCTCTTTGAGGAGCGTGTTGAGTCGATGTGCAAGTCTGCATCCCATGAACGATTCTCATAGTTGAAGACTAATAGGCCGATGACAGCATCAAAGTCATCCACCCGCAGTTGGTTACTAGCCCAAGGTTCATCAGCGGGAAGTATTGCGCTACAGAATTTTACAGGGTGCTACAGAGTGCTTTGTAGCATCTGTAGCAAATATGCTTCTCTGATGTTCCATATAATTGTTTATCCGTCGATTTCGAGGCTCTATCATCCGCAATGAAATTATGCCAGGCGCAACCAATCTGCCAGAATAATAGAACTTCCCAATTGCCAAGGTACTATACAAGCAAGCACTGTCGACCTCAGAGTAATTCAAAGTCCCCTTTACAACGGTTGTATCACTTCGTATAAATCATGCACTTCAAGTTCTCCGTTGTCATTGTTGCTTTGGCAGCATCTATGTTTGTCACTGGATGCAGTGTGCGGAGCAAGCGGTGTAAGGTGGACGGTGATTGCTGTGGGCACCTCCAATGTAATTTGCGTTCGGTGAGCACGAGTAGTTTTCTTTGCATCTCAGGCTAATATTCAACCCCCTTGCACCTTGCCATGTCAATCATAGCCTACCGGTTTAAAATATTGCAATTAGACTGCTCACGCATAGGTTGGCAGCTCAATTAGCATACATAGACAGTGAGTCATGTTTCTGCTTTCGCATTGGTACTGTGGCTGAGGGCACAATACGGGGTAGTTTTGTCGCTGACTGGCTTGATGTGATTGTTGTTTCTAGAGTACAGATAAAGCTTCCTGCTTCGTGGGCAATGAAGGCGCCTTTGAATTGATTTAAATACCAATATCGACCGATGTAAAGAGACATGAGGAACGATTTCAATGTTCAGGATTTGTGCTGCGTCATTCAGAGCTTCAATGAGTGTTCAATATAACGTTCAATGATTGCCGAAGTCTGCATAATTATATGACTCATCAATGCATCAAGCCCTTGAATTAACAACTTTTTCTTGCAACTTCACTAGTCGAAAGTCTGTTTATCCAAAACTAATAGGCCTCGAAGGTAACTACAAGTCGACTCTCGTGATGATACTCAAGGCTTCTGAGGGGGTCCCGTCTGTGCACTTGTCTGTGGAAACTACTATCAACATATATCCGCCAGCAACTGATGTCATAAGACTAAGTCTTGAGATCCTCAATTTTCTGAAAGAGAATGATTTGGTGAGTACTTCAAATCATTCTACCTCGGAGCCTTGAAAATGTTCCTGATAATCGGGTGACGACCTTCTATTGAATAGGACGCCCATGAACTCCTAAAACTTCCTGCTGTTCGTCTGCGGGTTGTCGATGATACCCGACCTTTGAGAGATTACTTTGTTTCGTATGTCAAGACCAATTCAGCGATACATACATGCAATGTTACATGTTTACCAGCTCTTCCCATAACACGTATCTACTCGCATGGCAGGTCCTGGGTCGTGCATCTTCCGAGTGCTACACACATGTTCTCTCCAAGAACGCACGTTGCGTCGAGATCGATGTTTGGTGGTCTTCCATAGGTCCGATTGTCACCCACGGACATACGCTCAGTCGAAGTGTTACGTTCAAGGCAGTCTGCGAGGCTATTGGCGAAGCAATCTACGACCACGACTGGCCTGTTATTATCAGTCTAGAGTGCCACGTGCCCATAGTCCACCAAGACGAACTCGTGGATATCATGAAAGATACTTGGGGAGATAGGTTGGTGCAGGAGCCATTGGAAGGAGTCGGCGGTGATACCATATCTCCAAGGGATCTGAAAGGAAAAATATTACTTATGGTATGCAGACGATGTCGGTTTAGATTTTTCTGACTGTCACTTTCAGGTGGAGTATTATCCGGACGCACATTGCGAGGAGATCAGCGCAGATTCTGAGGCATTGGATCGTGATTCATGTGCGGGCACCGAGCGTGATGAGGTTTCCGAACTTCATTATGAAATCGACCCTGTACTTAAGATGGCCAATCATGCCCATGCCAAGATTGCAGATTCGCTGGCCGACTTGGGTTTTTACGCAAGAAGTATGAAACCGGGCAAACACTGGCTTACTGAAGGCAAGTGCTCACCAGCCACTTCACTCGTGTTCATAGACCTTCCCCTAGAGTTACAAAGTCCCCCATATCCTCCCAATATCCTGATGAACATCAGCGAATCTTGCATTCTATCTATGCTCCCGCATTTGCTATCAGAGTTGATCGAACATTCCCTGCGTCGAATTCGACGCATCTACCCTCGTGGTGTGCGTTTGAGCTCGAGTAATCTTGACCCGTTGAAGCAATGGCGCAACGGCTCCCAGATTGTGTGTCTCAATTGGCAGAACTTCGACTACGGTATGCAGCTTAATGAAGCCATGTTTGCCGGGACTCCTGGCTGGGTTGAGAGGCCAAGCCATTTGATAGGAGCCAAACGCAATGTGAAGTTGATATGCAACATTATCGGAATCAGTTCTTGTAAGTCATTCCTGCAGACCTCAACTTTTTGACAATTGTTCTCCTGTAGTGCCTCGCCCAAAAGAACACACGGAATTTACACCATATGTTCACGCGGAGCTTTTTAATTATTCGAGAAATCAAGATTGGCAGTCTGAGCATATTAAGTGCAAAGATGTTCCAGAAGATGGCGCAGACGTTATGTGGAATGACGGTTTTGAATGGGAATTTGAGGAAGATGACTTGACGTTTATCCGGTGAGCGAAAGATACAAGTAAAATTGATCGACAAGCTGATGCTGTACAGTCTGCGTATCCTTTGCCATAAGGGACTCTCAAGGGATCAAGAAATGTTGGTTTTCTGTGCTCGTCTCCACGACCTTGAGAAGGGCTGGAGGTTCATTCACCTACTATCGATGGACGGGAGATGCACTGGGGCAACACTGCTAGTTCGATTTACAATGATTTACAACCAGTGAATATAGGGGACGATTAGTAGTAAGCATAGATATGGTGTAAAGTATTCAGCAGGGTGGGGGAATGAATATATCAAGAACGCTAAGAGGAAGCGTCTCATTTCACATCTGACAGGTTACCCCCGGCTGCCCTTTCAATTGCTCCGTACACGTTCTTCAGCTTCTTGTCTTTGCCGCCATCCTCAGCCCTGGCTCTTCCCTTTCCCCTACCCCGCACAGCCTCCTCATCGTCCTCGACATCATCATCACGGTTGCGTTCTACCATAAATTCAGCGACGAACGTAGCAATAGCTTGTTCTCCGATCTCGCTGTATGAGCGATGGCCCCAATGCCATTCAAATGCTTGGTTCTCATCTGGATTGGATTGAGTTGCTGCAGGAGCACGACCACGTTTGCCGCCAGCCGTCTTCGTATCGCCTAGCTTGATACGGTCTATGTATCCTTGCTTCATCAGCTGGGAAAGATATGTGTCTATTGGAAGGGACTTATGCGTAGACTGGGCGTTCATGGATATAGACTCATTCGATGTGAGGCCGAGGCGTTTCAAGTGGGCACGTAAATCCACTGAGTGCATATGGCGCGATTTAGTTTGATGAAATACAGGATGAGCTATGGGACGCACAGTCGGTCATGGATCGTCCGCTGGCGAGAATGATTGCTAGAATGACATGCAAGACACCCAAGGCGCCAAGTTGATCTGCAGTGCTCCAAGAGATTATGCATCCGTAACTTCTCAGCATGTCGTCGTCATCGCCGTCTTCTTGGCTGTCAGCAATCTGTTCTTCATACAGCCGTTCGTCCGTGCGTGCTGCCTCTTCAATAATGACGGGATCAAGAACAGAACGAAGAATATATGTCTTTGATCCTGCAGTCGCAGCTATTTATAGAGAGAGAGAGGGAAATTGTCATGACCGTTAGGAAATAGGAGACATGGCTGCAATTTACTTTTCTTCTTTACTCCAGTAGCGTTGCGTGCCTCTTGAAGGTCGTCAACAGCTACAACGTGATCTTGCTCCCGATAGTTTCTCGACTGAAGTTCTACGAGTTCCATGGCAAAAGTTTTCTTTAGGAGCTTCTGCGCTCTTTCAAACACAGGATTGAATGAACGCGAGTTAGATCCCAGCACTGATGTCTCTTTCAGAAATAAAGTGGATGAGCTCTGTAAACTCGGCGTACCCTTCTTGTTGATATCCTCTCGACGTATAAGAGTCCGCCTCTGCTCCATAAAAAGAGCGAATCTTACGAGATCACTCGCTTTTCTGTCAAGTTCCTGAGGAGCAAATCAGCGAGCGCTCTCGGATATCGGTAAGTCACCACGGGAGATGCTAGCTACTTACTGCGTCTGCATCATTGAGCCTTGCTTGGCTTTCGTTGATGTCCATGTCCTGGTCATCATCTTCTCCTGCATTTTCGTCCTCGTCCTCTTCAACAGGCGCTCTTCTGCTACCTCGAGCAGGCCGTTGAGACTGAGACTGGGAGGGCTGTGGGGCCCTTTGTGACCTCTGTGTTCTGCTTGGTCCTGCGCGCGCCATGTTGGTGTTGGTTATAAGATGAGCGTGACCAGAAACGCGCCCTGTGACATAATGGAAGCGCGTGTGACCGAGCGCGTTCTGAACGGTTGAACCTTACAAGAAATCTTCGACATCGAATTTTGGGGTTATGGGCCCAAGTTAGTCGACTTCAAGTTATCAAGGTTTTGCGTTGGGCCACCGAGATGATCACGATCAAGTGCGTGATAATGCTATTCAGGAGAATACCCGTTCACGGTCAAGACATGGGCGCAGTGACCATCTCCTTCAACAAGCACTACCTCTATCTCTCACGACATACCAATGCATAGTAAGCTAGCGAAGAAGTGTGTCGATCGTGAGATTCGTGACATACCATTCTGAATCGTGGCCATGGACACCCACACTTGACCGATACCTACTAGGAGTCATATGGATCAGAAGTTCAAGCTATACGTTGCTTGCACCAAGGAGGCCATTCAGAGTAGGTTACAGATTATAGCTCATTGACTATCATTCATTCATATCTGTACCAGTGGTCCGAAAACACGGCTACTTGAAGGTGTGTTCCTGCTTCCTGATTGACCCGAGTTTTTGTCCACTGAGCGGTTCACCAGGATTGCGATGCCGTATCACCCCTCTGCTGAGACTGAGCAAAGTAAACCGGTATTTTTGGCAAACAAGTTAATCATATCCATGTTCAAGGCACTGTTTTTTGCTGTTCGTTGACCTTGATCGTTATTGAATGTGCCTGCGACGAGATGATGAACACGCGAGTTGAAACGCAACGAGAACGTGATGGTTAGCATTTTTCTGCCCAAATTAGCTCACAATTAAGTTCCTCACAGTATACGGGTGCAAGCGTTTTCGACACGAATGGCTAGCTCCGCTATTTCAACAATGCAATTTGCCCAATCGAGCTGCGCTGGTCCACTGATCGAACAATGGTGGACAGACTCTTATTCAGTATTCGGTTCCACAACATGGCATTGTTCATGATGACTTTAAAATAGTCAAGTATAAGTCATTTTCGCCCAAATACCCTCGTGAACCACTCATTACGCCGTTGACTCTCACAGACTACTCCAACTTCGCTCTTCGCGAAACCCTCTTGCTGTTATTTATACTATGGACGCATTCGTGTCTATCGCCTCGCAGTTTTATCCATCGAATGATGATTTCTCAGGAGATTCCGGCGGACTCCCCGTTGACCCTGAACATACCCCAAAGCCATCTTCTAGCTATTGTGTCATTGCTTGATGTTGCTTGTGCGACATTGTGAACCTCCTTTCATTGCTCACTAATCAATTGGGTACTGAAGTACACTTTGGCAGTCGCAGTCATTCGTCGAGGGCCTCTAGAGCTTCCGACTACCGCCTATTCATATTATTCCACCATCAATCTCGTGTACCGTCCAAGTCGTCGTTTTTCAATTGTGGAATATGCTGAAGTGACTATTGAAGGTGATGACAATAACTTAAACTACGTGCTACAGGTGGGAGTAACCCTGCACAAATAGGAATATGACTTGACTACGTGTACTGAACGAGAACGAAGTGAAGTCTCCAACCATGAGCCTGAATACTGCAAATATTTTCTCTACTGACCTGGCCTGCTTAGAGGATCTGCATTGTTACAACTCTCAGGCTTGTGTATATATTCAAACCTACCGAGCCTGGCGCTGCGAGGTTGCATATCTGCCGTCAAGATATTATTTCCTCTTTTAATTTCGAACTCACCCTTTGCCAGCGAGCAGTCGCGTATCGCCGCGTTCATTACGTAAATAGCTGACAAATCGCTTCCTCTCCGGAACTCCACCACCAACTGAACACCCCTACACGGTTCTACGCCAGGAAGTTGCACTTCCTGAATCCTCTTTCTTTACCATGCTCCAGGCGCAGCATCATTGAGGTATCAGTTATTATCTTGCGAATTTTCCGAATCTAGCCGCTTTGGCTAGCATGTATGACCGGATTTGACCATCCAGACGAATCCGCGGACCAGCGACTCGTTCGGGATGACGTATTGTATTAGTAGCCAGTCAACCAAAATTAGATTTAGGCTTCGCCTAGGCTCTTAGTCTCTCCATTGAAATGTTTCGAGTAGTAAGCATCTCTTCTTTACCTCCTCACAGCTACGCATACTTACACAATAAGCTAATCATACATCATGGCGTTCTACTTGTGAGCTCTCACTGTACCAACAACTGGCTAGGATCATAATCTTATTGTTTTACAGCCACGGACTGCCCATAGGATGGGTAGCCATCATGCTGGCGCTCGTGGCCTCAATGGGTGGTTTCATCTTTGGCGTAAGTCGTACGATTAGTTATACTAATCATCTCTGCTAACCTCCCGATATTAGTATGACACTGGTCAGATATCAGATATCCTGTTGATGGATGATTTTCTTCTTCGCTTTGCCACCTGCTCCACACCTGGAGATTTATCGACTTGTTCATTTTCCACTGTACGGGAAGGTCTCATCGTTTCTCTCCTCTCCATCGGAACACTCGCCGGCGCGCTCCTGGGTGCACCGTAAGCAGCCCGTGATGTCTGTCTCCACATCTCACCAAACATCTATTTTAGCATCGCTGACTTTTTAGGACGTCGTCATGCCTTATCCGTGGAGTGTGTGGTGTTCACCATTGGAGTCATCGTTCAGATAACTTCCAACCACGTCTGGCAGCAATTTGCTGTCGGCCGGTTTATTAGTGGCTTGGGTGTTGGCGCAATTAGTGCTGCAGTTCCGATGGTGATTGTTCTATGACCATTCATTTTACTCGCGTTCTGATTTCCTCAGTATCAAGCCGAAACAGCTCCATCTCAGATCCGTGGCACTTTGACGTATGATATCCATACACCACTTCAGTGGCATACACGGCGCTGACTTTCCTTTAGTGCAACTTATCAGCTGTTCATTACGTTCGGTATCCTGGTAGCTTGTAAGATCATCATGCCGCGTTTCTCGTCAGCTGTTAATTTCCTGTACAGACTGTATCTCGATCGGAACACGTGACGTCTCTAACTCTGGTTCATGGCGCATTGTTGTTGGCATTGGCATCTTGTGGGCACTAATTCTCGGTATCGGCATCCTCTTCATGCCAGAGAGCCCTAGGTCGGCATCAGCACTCGCATCTGTTTTCCTTCGTTTGTCTAATTATGTCTTTAGATGGCTTGCCGCGCATGACAGAATGGAGGAGGCTCAGTTTTCACTCGCGCGTTCTCGCGGTATTCCAAAGGATGAGGCAAAGAGCCACTACATCATCGTTCGCGAGGTTGAGGAAATCAGGTCTTTTGTCGAATACGAAAAGCAGGTTCGTGGCGGGTGGATCGACTGCTTTAGGCCGCAAAACAAGACTCTCTACCGCACTCTTCTTGGAATGAGTCTACAGAGCCTTCAGCAGCTCACTGGCGCCAATTACTTCTTTTACTACGGCGCAACTGTGTTCCAAGCAGTAGGTCTCAGTGACTCGTTTGTGACTCAAATCATTCTTGGCACTGTCAACTTTGTCTGTACGTTCGGCGGAATGTATGTCCTCGAAAGGGTAAGCGCCCTGGTTCGTTTATAAGTGGAGAGCCCCGTTTCTCACTGCCCGTGTAGTTTGGGCGTCGCAGGCCTCTGATCATTGGAGGCATCTGGCAATCAGCGTGGCTTTTCGTCTTCGCCGCTGCTGGAACTGCTGTGGATCCTACGACTCATCCTGGCATTGGGAAATGTGAGATGCTATTTCCATTCGTGTATTGTGTCACTGACTTGGAATCTTCAGTGATGATCGTGTCGGCCTGCATGTTTATCTGGGGTTATGCGATGACCTGGGCTCCGTAAGAATCCACATGCCGGGATTTCGTGATTACTAACCTTCAACAGTGGTGTCTGGATTCTCATTGGAGAAACGTTCCCTACACGGACCCGTGCCAAGCAAGGCAGTCTATCGACCGCGGCGAACTGGATTTGGAATTTCCTATTGGCGTTCTTTACGCCATTCATCAGTAGTGCCATAAGCTACCGCTACGGTTTTGTCTTTGCAGGTATGGCACCTTCCATTAAAGGTGCAATACGCGACTGAATATTTTGATTGTCCAGCATGCAACTTGATGGGAGCCGTTGTCGTGTATTTCTTCCTTTACGAATCATCTAATCTTTCACTAGAAAGTGTTAACATGGTAGGTGTCCTTTATATACTGGTCTTTCGGTCTAAGCTTGGATATTAGATGTATACCGATCCTGATTGCAAACCTTGGACTTCTGGCAAATGGGCTCCACCCGGGTATTCCTCGCGCCAGGATCTTATCGATAAAACCAGAGCCGCGGAGGCGCATCAATCCCTTGCGTCCAGCGCACTCGAGGGAGGCAGGATCGAGAAACCCTCCGAGTCCTCTGGGGACGGATCATAGTCGACTGGCAAGATGGTGTAAGTGAATAATTAAGCAGACACACCTCATTTATATATACGCTCCCAAGCTACCTGACATACTTAGTTCTCTGCGACCTTCCATCGCAGTCTTTAATATCATACTAATTTTGATGCATATGAGAGGATCTTGATGCCGGCATTCGTTTCTAACGTTCCCCGACTCTGGTAAATGACGCTTAATTATGTTGACAGCCGCTTGATCCCTAATGGTATCATACGCACTCAAGTAAGCCATGGCCGAGGCAAATATCGAGCATGCCTTGAAATATTGGGACGGAGCAAAAGTCACGAGCATAGACACTTGTTGGGTTTGTAAGTAGTCTCGAAACCTTCCATACTTGGAATTCATGTGCATGCGTACTGTTCATCAATCAGACTGGCATGCTTTGAATGAGACTGAAGCGAACAAGCTCGAAGTTCGCCCATCGTACGTACTTTCAAGTTAGCAAGGCCTTTACTTCACTTAATGCTGGATCTCAGATGCGTTGCTGAACGATTTCCTTGACGTACACTCGAGCGTAGTAGTATAAAAGCAGTCGCTGATGATCCTTTCTTTTATCAACTACTTCGTCGCTCATTTGTCCCGTCAACAGTTCGCCCCACAAATTTAAACATGTTCGCTCTTTCTCTCCCTCTCGTTTCTCTTCTCGCATTCGTTGTGGGAACCAGCGCCGTACCCACCCTATCTGCTCGTGACAACAGCACTTGTAGTACGGGTGCACAGTGTAACACTGGCACTGTCTCCTGCTGCGATACGACATATGAAGTGCGTAGTTCCTTTTTGATCTAGTCCTAGGTCACGTCTGACTCCCGATTAGTCCAACAGCCCTAAGTTGAGCAGGATCATAAGCGTACTGAACATCTCCCTCGACCCTGTCGAGGGCTCCGTTGCGATGGGTTGTAGTCCCCTCAGCGTCATTGGTGCTGGTAGCGGCGCGGTGTGTACCCAGCAGCCCGTCTGCTGCAGTGGCAACACATACGTAAGTCACTAGCTTCTCCCGTATTATGCATCCTGAGCGACAAAATTTGTGTCTAGTACGGTCTCATTAACATTGGGTGCTCACCGATAAACATTTACCTATAATCGTGATACCAGAATCCCTCCCCAAGAGTGATTTACTCCACTGTCGTTGACTCTTTGTGATGTTTGGCCTAAATTTATGTTTTGTTGTGATCGAGGACCTTTCCTTGATGTATTCCGAGTTTATAAGCACCTTTCAGGCTTCCTACACGTCCACGCTCAAAGTAAATGTGCAATGGATGGTTCCTGAGCTGTTCGTAGAGCGAGAGGATGGCTCTCAAGTTCGGCCAAGTGAGCAGAGCGACATGTATTCGTTTGGCGGTGTCATGCTGCAGGTTCGTCTGGGTCAACTTTGGCCTCTCATCGATGACCTGAGCTCCACTTGTAGGTCCTCACCAATAACACTTCCCTATTATTACCTTCGTTGAATGACGCTGCCACCATCTAGGCTACGCAGAAGTTGCAAACGCCCTCCTGATCTCGTTATCCTGGGCTCCCTGAGCAATACTGGCAATTCATCGAGCAATGTTGGTCTACTGATCCCTCAACGGAGCGAGCTGACACGACGGTCGGGAATGAATTCTACTCGCTGTCCAGATCTCGTTGATTTTCGACTGTCTCGCATTCAGAAATCTGTTTACAGTACAGCCAGATGGATAAATATAGGTACTCCTGTATAGTACGTGTAGGCTCATTTCAAGGTCTCTTTTGTGACGTTGAAGATCACTTGTGCTATGATGAAGAAACATCGGTTGAAGTCATTGGAGTCGGGAGAATATTGTCATTCACCACAAAATTATCCTGTTGGCGAATTCTGCGATGATCTAATTCAGCATGCAAGTCGTTGGTTGGTGTAAGTGCAGACTTTGCATAGTCATTAGAGTGTCTTTCACCTTTTATACCATGACTCAACACTGATTCTAGATATTCGACTCGCGATATATAATACATTGCAATCAATAGGACACTCAACTGCTATTTCTAAGCTTCCGGTTTTTGACACGGAGATGTATGGTGATCCCGACCTTGTCAAATTTTGTGGCATAAAATCTTAAAGTTTTGCTTACTCAGCCACAGTAGTATATGTGATTTATTTTAAATTATTTTGTGCAAGTTTTAAAATAATTTGTTTGGGATCACCACGACATCGGAACGGCCTGCTCTCCCCTATTCGATTTGATCTGCCCAAGAAAGACTTCTTTTTACTAGCATGAGCGAATCTTTGAACAATACACTGGACACGAGTTCGAAAAGAAAACCTCATGTCATCATCACGATCGGCATGGCGGGGGCTGGCAAGTCTACATTCGTGCAGCGCATCAACTCCTACCTCCACTCGCAACATCCTCCACAACCGCCATACATCCTAAACCTCGACCCAGCGGTTACTCATGTGCCATTCGAAGCCAACATTGATATCCGGGATACTGTCAATTACAAAGAAGTCATGAAACAGTGTGTTGCTGTTTCCATCTGGACGGTAGTGCATGAATAACGGAATGGATTGTCGCAACATCAGGTATAACCTGGGACCGAACGGTGGTATTTTGACCGCGTTGAATCTTTTTACGACCAAATTTGACCAGGTCCTGGACTTGGTCGAGAAAAGGGCTGAGACAGTCGAGTACGTGCTTGTCATTTTTATTCTACATTCGCTCTCTAAGTTCTTGCGCATTCGCATAGTTACATAATTCTTGATACTCCGGGGCAAATTGAGATTTTTACCTGGTCAGCATCTGGCGCCATTATCACGGATGCCGTTGCTTCCTCGTTTCCCACTGTGGTGGCGTATATCATCGACACACCGCGGACAACAGCTCCTGCAACATTCATGTCCAACATGCTGTATGCCTGCAGGTGAGTACTGCATCATCTAGCGGTTCAATAATCTGTGATGCTTTATTAGTATCATGTATAAGACAAAATTACCATTCATCCTTGTCTTTAACAAGACGGACGCGCAACCCCACGATTTCGCTATCGAATGGATGCACGATTTTGAGGCATTCCAAGTAGCTCTTGCATCCCATTCAGGATCGAGGGACTCTGAAGGTGAACCAACCTATATGAACAGCTTGATGAATAGCATGAGTCTGGTTTTGGATGAATTTTACAAACACCTCAAGGTAGGTATACTACATCCCTGTAGAAGGCATAACTGATTGTATTACAGGCTGTCGGCGTCTCAAGTACGACAGGTGCCGGCATCAAGGAATTTTTCGATGCAGTGGAGGAGTCTCGTGAAACATATAGGACGTACGTTTTATCGTCATTATTCTTGCATTCTCTCCTTATTTTTTTTATATGGTGCAGTGAATATCTACCAGAACTTGAACGCGCCCGTGCGGCACGGGAACAATCACTGCAAGATATAAAAGAAGACTCGATAAATCGCCTCATGAAAGATCTCGCCGTTGATCGTGCCGCAAATCCAAAGGCAGCCGCAGAAGACCGCTGGGCGTCAGACGAGGAGGATGCCGATGATGACGAAGAGCTGGAAGTCAACCTTATCGATCGCAGTGAGTGACTTGCCAGTCCTTTCGTTCGACTTCTGAAACATTTTTGCTAGGTGAAGAGCCATATCCTGGTCAATACATTGACGTCACACGTATGCGAGGACAAAGCGAGAACATAAATTGGCCGAACCCGGGATGAAATCCATCATTGATTGCACGTTCCATTCAACGTTGTCATTATGTACCCTACCACATTGGTAAGTAGGAGAAGAACCCCGTAATATCCAGATTACTAAGTACTGTCAATTTCATGCACAGCACTGATAAGCCACATTATCAAATGAATGTGTCAACATTACAACAGGCAAGATGAAAGTTTCGTGTGATAACATGATATTTCACCATATTCGATTGCATGAATTGTTTGCAGCATGATGATCTTGGAACAATTGTCATTGCTCTCAGATCTATAACTGAAAGACCTCTTGTTTGATGTGTCGTTTCTCCACCGAGTGATCCCAACGGTGAATGGAGTCTATGTGGCAAGAGTATCACAAATCAAATGGTACCCTGCGCTTACCATGATCTTCATAGTACTGGAATGAAGCGATGACAATGGTTCACAGGCAAAATGGGAAGGTGACTCTATTGTTAAGCCTTGACAACCAAGTGGCAGATACCATGAATCCTTGCTGATATTATTCCATCCCCCGGCGAGAGTTCCGGTCCGACGGTCATGCCGTTTCTGTGCCAATACTATGCAGTAAGCGGTGGAAAAAGTGAGCATGCGTAGCCCTAAGGAAAGTATGAAAGATAGTAAAATTTGAAAGTGAATCTTGAGGTCTGAGGGCCCAAGTCGATGGAATAGGTGACTTACATTAATATTATCAAGCAGGGAATAAGACGGTTGTTGCAATGAATGTTTAGGTGAGAGTGACAGCAGTGGCAGTGGTCGCATTTTGCCGAAGGGCTCTTTATATGACCTCGACCAGCCAAGTCAACAGAGTCCCTGGCACGTATCTCCACTTCATTCCGCCTCTCTCTAAGGGCTAGCTACGAGCGCCGAATATTCTGAATCTCGCCAACCTTCAAATCAGCAGCTCGTGTAACGACGAGTTAGCGAACTCGCCTTTACTGAATTCCCGTATCACCCGCCAGGTTTCATCCAGATTGACCTGTAGACACTATTTCCCTCTCATCCACGCGATAACCTTTCCATTGATACCGATATTCGCTCTTTCCAGTTAACCGGCACCTTACAGATTGTGCGCTCTTTTGACAAATGGATCGGTGCGCATCTCGTTTCTCACTCAATGGTTGACAAAATCAATTGATTTTGCTGAACTCTAGCTATGCAAAAATAGAGAAAGTTGGTGCGTGCCTGTCGTGTGTTCACATCAGACTGCAATGAAATGGTGTGGCGCACGTTATAGGAGAAGGTGCAGTCGCACTCCGCTCACTTTCGTTGTTTATCGCTGACGCACATTCAGGCACATATGGAGTTGTTTATAAAGCGCGAGACGTTACAACGAATCAGATTGTAGCCCTTAAGAAAATTCGACTCGAAGCAGAGGACGAAGGAGTCCCGAGCACTGCTATCCGAGAAATCAGTCTGCTAAAGGAACTTAAGGATGACAATATCGTTAGGTATAACGTCCTAAACTGTGTCAACCGCTCCTCATGGCTAATCGTCTGTGTCAGACTCCTTGATATTGTCCATGCTGAACAGAAACTTTATCTCGTCTTTGAATTCTTGGACGTTGACTTGAAGCGCTATATGGAGAACGCCAACACATCCGGTACGCCCATTTCCATCGGCATAGTCAAAGTGAGTCAGCTTGTCATTTCAAAAGGCTTCTTATTGGTCCCCTGCCCATCATTTACGATTCCTGACGCGTGGTGGACGCGTGTTTCGTGCTTCGGCGCGTAGTTTGCTAAGGCGTCAAACAGCTGCTGCGTTTATAGCATGTTCGCTAGCGCGAGGCACTGCCCATGCTATTTTTGTACGTTAGGCCTTAATTCCACCATACACATTTTTCAGATTGGCACATTGTGATAGGGGATATTATGTGATGTGATGCCGGGGACGCGAAGCGATTGTCACGTGATTCGGCAATTTGACTAACCGTGTTCCCTATCACATTACAGCGATTTACTCATCAGCTCAATGCTGGCCTTTTGTATTGTCATTCGCATAGAATCTTACATCGCGACCTGAAGCCTCAAAACCTGCTCATCGACAAGAAAAACAACCTCAAGCTTGCAGATTTCGGCCTTGCGAGAGCTTTCGGCATTCCGATGAGGACATACACCCACGAGGTAATGAGCACCCCCAAAATTTCCTCTTATGTCGTGAGCTGATCGTTTGCGCTGTTGTTCTAGGTGGTAACGCTGTGGTACCGCGCGCCTGAAGTATTGCTTGGTTCTCGGCACTACTCGACAGCTATTGACATGTGGTCCGTTGGGTGCATCTTTGCTGAGATGGTGATGCGTGGGAGTCCTCTGTTTCCTGGCGACTCTGAGATTGACCAGATCTTCAAGATCTTTAGGTAACGCCATGCATAATCGGTTTGTATGGGCAGAACAACTGACAATTGACTGTTTAATCCAGGATCCTTGGCACTCCAAGTGAAGAGACTTGGCCAGGCGTGACTCAATTGCCTGATTACAAGGATACATTCCCTCGATGGTCGAAACAAGAGCTCAAGGGTGTCGTACCTAATCTTGATGAACAAGGTTTGGACTTGCTTGCGGTATGTCGTCTTGTATACTACCGCGTTTCCTTTTTTCCGTCGACCTTTGCCTGGTGCTCACATTCTTCTTCGTAGCATACTTTGACATATGACACGGCAAAACGGATCTCTGGTATGTGTGCATCAAGCTTGCTCATTTTTATGTTGTCTCACCATACTTTCAGCAAAGCGCGCTCTCAACCATCCTTACTTCGCGCACTACACACCTTCATGACAAGTTCTTCGCATCCGAGTAGATCGCATACATAATTGATATGTTTCACTTCCTTGTTACCCTTCAGTCTGTCGTATAGGACCCTTGTCTCCATATTTCGTATCACAGTCAGAGTAGCCTAAAATACGTCGAATGTGATAGTATGTGCATCGTTCGGAAGGCCCTCGGTAGGAATCCGGACAGGTATCTCGAAAAGGAATTCTCGGTCCGGTATTATTAACGTCAAGGCGATAAAGCACGGCCTTGAGGACAGCACCAAGTCCCTCCCCCACTCGCTCTCATTCCTACCGCCACCAACACACAGACCGTTCCCCTTCTCCATATTTTCAGATTTTTCTCTACACTGTAATCGACGGTCATCATGGACGACGAAGTCGAGTATTTGGGCACCAATTTTGCTCAGCCAGCTGCTTGCCCCTGTGATCCACAGCAACCGGTGACGGGTAAGCACCGTCGTTATTTGCTTGAACAGCACCTCCTAGACATATTATTACCAAGGTGTCACTATGCACGTTGAGTCGTGTGGTGGAAAGCCTGCTCATAATGTTTCCTTCTTCAACTCTCGCACCTCCCATGTTCACATCGGTCGCAAATCAATCTCAGATGATAGGTCGATGAGGAAAGAGAACGACGATCAGAATGCTGTATTTGCATGCCCCGTAGTCAGCGCAAAGCACGCCAAACTTGTGTTGGCCTCCAGCGGCCACGTAGGCACATGCTGATTCTGTCACATCGGACTTGCACCTGACAACCTGCCCCAGGTGTATATTGTTGATCTCAAGTCCCGTCATGGGACGCATTTGCGAAAGAAAGGCGAAACAACATCTAGGATGTTGCAGCCTGAGGTGGAGACCACCCTTACTGATGGCGATGTCGTGACGTTTGGTAAAGCTGTGGGGCAAGGCGCTACCCTCGTTTCGCCGGTCACAGTTCGCATCGAATTTTTGCGCGATATTTTGGATATGCGCGACTCGCCTCCATGGTGTCTTACCCCTGCAGAACCCTCAAGTCCTCGCCCACGAAAATTAAGCACTGGGCGCTATGGCCTTAATAGTCCTATTTCATATCCTTCTTCCCCGTCTCGTTCTTCAGAGTCACTCTCATCTCCATCGGGCTCATCCAACGAGGCTGCTTCGCATTCAGAGCATGAATCTGATATAGAAGAGATACCGTCTTGGGAAGAACTTCGTTCCTGTGTTTCATCCTTACGCCAAGACTTCCCTGTAGACTTTCTGGGTGGTTCATCACTCGGAAAGATGCCATCGCTTGGGTCGTTGATGCAGGATATCTGCCATAAGATCGCGGACCCACTTGACATAGATTCTCCCCAACATTGGTCCCCTCCGGCCATTGCAACCATTACATCCATTGATGACGATGATGCGCCCTCGTCCATTATCCACGTTGAGGATTCGCGGTCTCATTCTCCTATGGAGCTCTCCACACCATCTCCATCGCCCGCTCAGGTTCCCGAGGAACCGGAAGCCAGTGCATGGCCACCGTCCAGGGCTGACTCCCTGCAGCCCGCTTTACGTCGGTCGGATGAGTTAAACAGAGTCAAACTTCCATCGATGTGCTCATTTGGGCACATGGGATCCCTCGAATCAGGATCTTTTGAGAGCTTCCCAGAACGGCTCCCCTCGCTTTCTAGCTTCCCGCCGTTTGTGCCGCTGGAGGCTGAACCGGCTACCCTAGCACCCATTCCTGCTCTTCCCTCTATCACTGAGGTGCGGCCTGATGAATCCCAGATTTCCAGCCACGACGATCATAGAGATCTGCACGATGCCATAAAGACTATAGAGGCAAGTATATGTTCCGGGATTTTCATTACTATATATTCTCAACTTCGCCTACCTAGGGTCGAGTAAATGTGCTGCATTCCAGCGTTACTGATATCAAGAATCGCCATGCCTTGACAGAGGACGACCTCTATGACCTTCAGCATCAAGTTGACATGCTCGAGCCTGAATCTGACCAACTTTTTGCACGCTTGGAGGCTGCAGAAGACAAGCTATCTTCTTTGTCAGACCTACAGGATCAAGTATCTGAGTTACAATCCAAGGCCGACGCAGAAAGCTGTGATACCTTCGTGCCGCCCATGGCAGATGTTAAGGCTTGTGCTGACGCCCTCAATGCCCTCGTCATTGGTTAGAAGTGATGTCCTCGCCGCTGTTTTATTCGTCTGATCAAATGTTGCAGAAATGAAGACCTTACGCGAGGAGACTGAAAAACGCGTGGAGGAGAGGATTCAGACAATCCAGACTGCCAGGATGGAGGCGTTGTCTGTCATCGCTGCAGAAGTAGAGGTAACGTACTTTCTTACACTTTCCTCATCTCTCTCATACTCTTGCAGAGTTTCAAATCGCTTAAGCGCAAGCACTCTGATATTGAAATTGAGGTTGCTCCTCCAGTCAAGATGGATATTGTTGTGGATGAAGCCCCAGCGGTGGCTGCGAAATCTGAATTACTGATCGAAAATTACAGACATGTTAAACGGCCCAGGAGGATAATGACATCCATCGCGCACACCGCCACGGCCATGGCAGTTGGTGCAGTTGCCACTTGGTCTGCGCTTGCCTTCTCGTAAATTTCAGGAGAATTCTCATATTGCAATTGCTAAAATGCATAATTGGTTTTTGGTTTGTACCACCACTACTCATGTTGTAGGAACCCTGTTGTATCTTCCTTCGTACGATGTACGTTATTTTAGGTTTTTGTACCGATTATATGTTGTATCAGGTTCCCGATGAGCATTATTTGAACTGACAGCTCTGGCTGCGCCCTGATTGATGTGGATAAACATATAATGATTAACAATACAGAGATATGTAATAACATCATTCATTAAGGAAGAGGCCTATGTCATCTGCGACTTGCCAAACTTGGTCCGTATATCCCTAGTAAGAGCACGAAGCATAGCAGACGTGACCACTGTGGACTTATCCTCGGGAGGTAAAGATGTGGTAGTGCTGAACGAGGGTGACGTGTAGGCAGGACTAGCAATGCTCAGCGGAGGACTTCCACCCTCGCTAGATCCATCAGAGGCGGATAATCTCCTCCGCTTGGCAGGGGTAGAAGACCTACGGATAGCAATCAGTCAAGTTAGGACAGTTTCATCATTAATGACGGACCAGCTGGATGACGCATTAATTGATACGGTGCGTTTGCATGTCTGTCGCAGCTTGGTGGAACGAAGGGCATTGAGCTCATCTGAGTAAGAAGCCTGCTCAGATGAGATTTTCGATGTCGCTGCATCGAGACGAGTCTTTCGTATGAGAGTGGGATTTGTAGCTTTGGGGCTGACGCGTTGAGTGGACAGCTCCTGAGCGACATCATATATATATTGAACAAAGGTCCTCGAGGGAAATTCTACAGCGAACAAGTTTCAGCTGCGCACACAATCCATGTAGAACTGGCACACCTCGGTCAAGAGCCTGGTGCGATCTCAGATCACCTGCGAGATGTCTACCGGGATCTTGTAACGACGGATTGTCCAGCCATTGCAAAACCGCATCAAACATTGAGCTGCTGGGGAATAAGCAAGGAAAAGGTGCGGGATGGAAACATGATTTACTTTGAGTCTCTCACGTGTTGCAGCTTCAGGTTGGGCAGAATATCTCCAAAGATGCTGATGCTGCCACTCAGCAGTTGAAGTACAGCACTAGAGATGGTGGCGAGAAGATCGATACACAATTCTAAGAATCTCCCAAGGAAACCCCAGTCAACTGGCAATCGTCGTCAGTACTGACCGTTCAGCAGCACCAATATTTGCTTACATTCTCCATCGACTGTGCATTGCTTAAATTGCTGTGATGTAAATGTCTGCCATATGGGTTTCCACAGTCTGAAGAGGTCTGTCCCAAAATTAAACGCTAAACTTTGAAAAGTAAAGTATATCGCATACCTGGTACAGACATCCACCGTACGAGTTTGCCTTCAGTATCAACTTCGAGCGACTGCAAGGCGGACTGAAACCTAGAGTCGATGTTCAAGGCAGTGGATGTTAATGATAGATCAACATGGGAAGACGAGATTTCATCATGAAGTATTGCAGTAATCTTGACGATATTCAGCAGTTAGTTTATTTCCAGAACAACATCGTGCATACCATGTCATTAAAATCGGATGAGCATTCGATCTCCTCGCCAGACCAAGATATCGTCAAGAGGGAAGGAATGAAATGCCGATCAGGGGGCAATGACTCGATGATATCTCGTAAACGCGAGCAATCGTCCAGCATTCGATATTTCCTACCATGCATGAGTTAACAACTCGTAGCAAGCAACTCATCACAACTAACCTTTCCAGACGGTCTTCAACCTCGCCGATCGGGGTTCGCTCGAAAATGATGATACCCGGGTATAATGCTCTATTGTTGTGTGACTGCGGCATCACTGGTATCTGGAATATACTAGCGTCCTTCCAGTTGCCAGAGTCAGGTACATCGAATTTCAGTTCAAGCCAAATGGCAGTTCCATCATTATCCTGGTTCAAGGACAGCCAGGCAGACCAGTTTTCTGGAATGTTGCGTGACGTAGCCTTCAAGTGTTGCTGCAGCACATGAAGCAAAGATCCACGAGCCCAGCGCTGTTCGCTTTCTTCACGATTCTAAGATCGCAATGCATTCAAAAGGTGTAGCACAGTTGATACGGATGATATACCGACCTTTTCGAACCGCTTTAGAAGTTCTTCATCGCTGGGCGGTGGCCGGTATTCGTTGGATAAGCGGTTTCTGAGCCGCTTTCTAACGGGGCTGGGTCGTTCTGGTGTAACCACTTTGCGCTTGTTCTCTTGTGGCAATGAGCTAGTACTCTTGGATAGTCGCTCCGTGTGTACGCGCTGACTATAGGCCTCGCTTCGGAGACAAGCCTCTTTCCACTTGGTACGATTGGCAGCTCGTTCCCTCCATTCATGGAAGGCCTCCTTGATTACCAAGCTCCTTCGAGCAAATGCGAAAGCTTTGGATTCGAGCGCTTCTTGGTCCGCAACGCTGGTGGACGGCGAAGCTGATGCCTTGCCATTAAGTGGGCTTTCCAGTTTAGTTGAAACTGCCTCAAGATCGGCAACGGTTATTCCTGAACGCAAGGGAGTCTGTACGGAGTCACGTCGGTGTAAGCTGGCCATAGAACTAAGTGTTGATCTTGTCCCGGGCGATGAAAGTACCAGTGGGCTCAGAATTTCAGTAGGGGAAGCAGCAAACAAAGTAGGTTGAAGTTTTTTGAGAGACCCGAAAACGGACTTGGTGGATGTACCAGAGATGGTCGAAGGGATATATATTGGCGCAGTGGGTGTTGACGGTAAAGATATTGGCTGTTGTCTACTCAAAAGTGGCGGTTGAAAAGGTGGTATTTCATCCAAGCTGCCGAAAGAATCATGAGGAATATCGAAAATTGGTTGTGAAGCGACGGGAGAGGGAGGAACTGGAGGTTCGTATGAGGGTGTAGGCTGTGTGACAATTTGAGAAAGTGATGGTGCAAACGCCTGTGCATGAGGGTTGAGAGGTTGTATAGATGATGCAGTCTTGTTGACCTCGGGTACGGAAGAAAGTTTTGGAGAAGGGGGTAGTGGTTTACTAAAGGTAGAGGGAGGAGGTGTCGAAGGCACTGTAAATGAAACCTGAACCTTGTTTTCGCTGGGCGCTGTTGAGGTCGGAGATGGGACAAGTGGAGGTTGAGCAAAAACTGGAGGTTGACCTATGTTGAAGGTGTGATTAATAAACAAGAGATCGGAAACAACGGCCCACAAACCCGAAAAAGGCGCTTGGTTAAAATTAGAGGTCCGAGTTGCAGAGGACCCAAACACTGATGTAGGGACGGCAGCTGAACCAAAACCAAACTCGTGCGTGGAGCTGAATGCTGATGGCTGGAATGTCGTCGTCCCGAATACATTGGGAACGGATGTCAGATTTGAAAACGCAGACTTTGGTGATTGTGGTGCAGGTTGAAAAGAAGCGTTTAGGACTGCTGATTCAGTGGGGTTCGGACCAAATGTATCATTGAGCCACTCAGTTCCGCTTCGCTGCAGGGGCTTCGGGGAAGATTGTGGAGCATCCACCAAGTTAGCCTCGAAAGGTGGCTCTTCTTCCTCTTGCATAGCGTCTGGCTCTTCTACAATAGCATCATGGTACTCATCTACAACAGCCGAGCTGCCATCAATGATATCCGAAAAGGGGCGATTTTCACGCAGGCTTTCAATATCATCGATGGTATCGGTGCCAAATAAGTGTTCTATGATGCATGCGACCAGATATATCATGGCGTAGTTTCCTTCCCTCCGGAGCACTATGATCAATTCGTGGAAGACCCCAAGCGCCTCGGGATCAACGGAAAGCGGAGAGCTTCTGCCGATGGGGGCACTCTTCGCCTGTACGAGGAGCCGGAATTTGGTCGTGAGCTTGAATACCGGATGCTTGAGGATAAAGGAAGGGATATCCTCCTGTCGCTCTTTTTGATCACGGATATGAATTAGACGATGATAGACTCGCATTTCGAGCTCCGTTGGTGACTGATATCTTCCTCGCTGGTCTTCGTAAAACTCCTTCAGACTTTGAAGAGCTGCGAAGACGGTTATTATTAATGAGGTTCGTTAAGTGGCGAGTCCACGCACTGTACTTCAGCTGCTGTTCTTCCAGACTGACCTGGGATCCGATTCGGTCGCGCTCTAGATGAAGACCAAGGATGTGAAACCGTGCACATCTATCATGGCACTCGATTGCAATAGGACCCATTTCATGCTGCATCGTGAAGTCACTTCGTACAGCACGCGAACGATCACGGATGAAATTGAAGGTTGCAGAAAAGCCGCCTCGGGGAAGCAGGTCATGGAAAAGATAGTCGAGTGTACGCTGCAATAGATAATATTAAATTATACATAGAACAGCATATTGAAGCAACATACTCGAAGAACTTTTGGAGGACGAAGATCGGAGGGTAACGTCTTGTCACCAGCTGCCCGTTCATACATTTTGACAGCTTTCTTGTGATCAACACGTTTTGTTCCTGGAACCTAAGAAGTAATCAGCGCATATATCTAGCACACTTACAAATTAAATGTCCTCATACAATTTCCCACTCAAAGAGGTTGTTCTCGCGTTCGCGGCGGTAGCGTTCGAATCTTGGGCACATATCCATGCATGTGCCGACCATTGTGATAGCATCTTCCAGTCGTTTTGGAACATTGGGATCGTCCATTTTACCCTCAGCAATGGCTGTCTTGCGCTCGACTTCGCGCGTTTTTACAAGCTGCGGACTCCAGTAAAGGTAATATATACACCGAATGGAACATACGACCCACCTCTTTCCAGAATCGTTCCCTTTCCTCGAGAGTATCTGGCTCTTGTTGTTCGACTTCATCTACATCAGTGACGTCCTCCATTTCGCTATTATCCCCTTCGCTGGCAGCAGTTGACCCCGCGCCTCCTTGACGGAAATTCAAGGTAGTGTTATGAAATTTGCCACGGGTGCCTCTTCCTCGACCCCTACTTCCTCTGTAACCTCCACGCTCCCATCGCTCGGTGTCTGCGCCCCCATGAGGTGTGCTAGTTCTGTTGGTGGCATTGTCCGCGACCCATTGCTTGTGTTTATGGTGCACTCTTCGTCCTGCTCCAGCACTGTCATAGTTGGCACCGTTTGCGCGCCCTCTCTGTGTTCGGAAGTGGGTGGTAGACTCCATGTTGCGGACCGCACTGGTGGTCACACTGAGTCTTGACAAAGTGATCACACCTTGTCTTGTCGACGGTGTTTGATAGTGTTTATTTCCAAAGGTCTTGATCAATAGAGTCAAACAATGCCTGAGAACTTTCTATATAGAAGTAAGCGGCGATCGGCGAGAACCTTACCGACACGGCGACACCGTGACCATGTCTGATGCTCTAGGAACGTGTTGCGCGCTCGGACTTACTGCGTGCTGCGACATCGTGGCTGGAATATGTCTTGATTTCATGTCCATACGTAAGTACCACGATTTCTCAAGCACTGTTCAATGTAATTCTGCACTGGCAGGACATCCATGCACGGAGCACCTTTGCAGCTGCTGCTCATGCAGAGAGTCTATCGATGACACCACATCTGACGTTGAAAGATCGCCTCTGATCTTTGAGAGCAGACAGCCTAGTCCCCATCCATCAATGCATAGCAGTAAATCCTCATAATTTTGGGCGCGCACCCCCGTTCATGCTGTACCAACAGGTAGCTGGTAAGTGTTGTATTCCTAAGGCATGGACAAGGCTGAACCAGTAATAATTTTCAGGTGTACTAGTGTTGTATCATCACTAGTACTGTGTCTCATGCCACAGGAAGTTGGCAAGTATTATAGACAGTTGCACATAAATGAAGAATATTTATAGAACGAGCGGAAACGGAACGAGCGAAATGAGCTTGACTCGAGAATGAATAGGGTATAAGCGAACCAAGTAAGGCTGTCCAAGAAGAAGGGTATAACGAAGGAGTGTTTTGTTCAGACACCTGGCCTAGTAAAGTCAGGGTAATCAGGCCAGTTGCCCAGCTGTGCTGGGTCACCTCCGATGCGGACCCAAGCAGAGTGTGATGGCGTCGGACCGTCTAAAATGAAAAGTTGTTGCCATCCAGGTGGACTTACATACGCATTGGGGGGCGCTGTGATGGTACAGGTGTTCCCAGAGCACGAAAACGCAGGGAAGATAATCCTCCCACCACTCATGACGTTTCCGTGCGTGCTAGACGAAGCTATATTTCACAATCAGAATCGGGTCCATCTATAACCACTAGTCTTGCTTACCCGCCACGAGTGAGACGCGCATGGTACTTGTCGTTCCCTGGAATAAAGTCACCGTAATACTATACTGCCCGCCCAACTCCCAATCAGTCTCAGCAATAGTAAACTCTGGTTGCCTGAGTCCTGAATTGAGGTATGGTGGAATATAAACCTCAATGCGCATCTCCTCTGGGTACACAAAGGACCCGTTGGGATAGTACGTCTGTGGGTCTGAACCAGACACCAGAACACGCCCGTCGGGCAGAAGGGTCGCTTCGGAGTGATACAGGCGAGCTACAATGGTATTGTTGAGGATGGAGAAACGCTGGCCAATCGGCTGCGAAGGGTCGTATAGAATTGCGCTAAGATTAGGATCTGTCGCAAGGCCAAAGCCGGCAACACCTTGATGAGCGCCATTAAGGATCAGATACGTGCCATCTGCGATTGAAGTACTATTAAAACTAGACTCTTGTCATTCGTCGTGATATTTACCTGGCAGAGTCGTGATGCAAGGCATCACCCGTTGGGAAGGCTGAAGTTGACGCGTTTCAGCATCAAACCTTAACTTTCCCAAAATCAAATTGGCTTACCATACGTTCAACCGTCCATGTCGGATTTGGTGCTTCGGGTGCAATGGAGATACAGTTGTCCAGCGCAATAGCGGCTCCGATCGTCGAACCACCACAAATGAGGACCTCGATCGAATCGGTGTATGGAGCGTGCTGCGGCAAAAGTACCGCAGACCCTTCCATCGGGTACGTCCGGCCTGCGAGAAAGTTGTTCACGGCCCCGGGCATATTTGGCAGCACTGTCACCGTGTCAAAGGTGACAGGGTCAAGAATGCGAGCCTCGTTGTAGTAACCTTAATACGCTCTGTAAGAAATGGTGCATCATACTCATAATGTTACGTACCAATGAAGAATCGACCACTAGGCAGCACCATTAAGAATGGGTAGAGATTGTTGGGATCTGTCCGTTGAAGATAGTCCAATGTAATGACTGTATCGCCACCGGGGGGCTTTGGAAGGATCTCGAGGCTGGGTTGCGGAGAAGCATTACTTCCAGACTCTCCGCCAACGACCAAAATACTTCCATTTGGCATCATCATCGCGGTAGGATACCATCGGCCACGCTGAACACGCATAAGGACGATGAGACAAACACCAATAGTTCAGAGCTTACCTGAAGTGTGAGCTCGTTAACATTTTCTTCCCAGTCATTGGTACCATTGACACCAGCACTCCCATCCGGCATATACAACCTCACTCCAAAAGTCGATGAAAGGGACCATCCACCTATATTGATTTGCCTGATTGTTCCAATGTAAGTGCGAGCCTGATATGTCAAGTGAAACGTCAAACCTTCCTCCTTTGTCTGGTAGGATAATACTACCAGAACAAAATACGTCCGTCTGCACGTGCATCTCGCGCCAAGCCAGCTGGTAATTGTTCACCAAACTGAGATCCAACTCGTACGCGCCAGTAGAGTTAGCATATACCGAGGTGCCATGCTTCTCGAGGAAAGTGACTTTGTTGTTGATGCCCACAGTGGCAATGAGAGGGACAACGAGACCGCCTATCAGGAACTACATAGATCATGAGCGTTTTGTACATTCAGGACAAGATGGGACACACCTCATAGTAGCCAGTATTCGCGGGGGTGTTCCACGTATTCATCGTCCCGTTCCAGTAATAGGTAGACAGTCTGTTTCCTGCTCCACACAGGTGGATTGGGTCGCCCGAGCACGCCATGTTGCACTGTGAATCCGAGACATACGACCCACCATTCGCTGCGATATCACTGACGTCGCCACAGACTTTTCTCTTATCAGCAATCCGCAAGAAAGTGCAGTGAATTGATGCGCTTACAACATTGGACTCCATATTCAAGACCAGCCACGGGATATCCGAAGGCAGCACACTGGTTTAAGCATGCATCGACAGTGTTGTTCGTGGTCCATTCATTTTCATATCGGAATATCCGAGCGCCAGTAGATGGTTCTCTGCATGGCAGCATCAGCATTCGCAGGGATAGGTAGTGAAGAATCACTAACGCCAAACAGCCTTTATATCCCCATTGTCCAGGCAAATTTGTGGTTTGCAACACAGGCACAGGAAGTAATGTAATATTTCCATTAGAGGAGTAGACAGAAAGTCGGTTTGGACCACCGCATGCTTCACTAGTTCACGTCAAGAACATAAAACGGACTAATGACAGATGACACGCACGTCGGATTTCCACCACAGGCCATGTTGCATCCACTGTCTGTAGCAATCGTAGCGCCATTGATGAGATAGTCACCGCAGACTAGAACAAGAGTCAGAAGGGGTAAAGAAGGAGATATAAACCACTTACAACATTGTGTGCTGTACTCGATGGCTGCAATAGTGAAGTTCTGTCCGGCACAGTTCGCGATACAACTCTGCACTGTCATGGTACTGTTGTCATATTCGTTCCCCAACACACGCCCATTGAGGCCGTCGACATAGCATCCTCCATACGTCCAGTTGCCAGTTAATCCAGAGGTCACAGGCGAAACAGTACTGGAATCGATGGGATTGACGACAGGGGAAGTTGTAATGGCCTGGGTGTAGTTATACATACTGAGTCGGTACGGCCCTCCGCAATACTCGGACGAATTTCCCGCACATGTCATATCACAGTCCGTGTTCGGGGCGGGACCAGAATTGTTCTCGATGGTGAGGCCACAGTCTGCAGACACCTGTCAGCAAAAAGAATGTCTGACCGAAGAGGCATGCGCACAGCATTCATCAGCGTATTCCATGCCGGCATAAGAGTATCCAGCGTTGTAACACGTGGCGGTACAAGATTCAACAGTAACACTTCCGGTTACGCCGATCCCATATGTCAATGCTCGTGTCGCTGAGTCGCTGGTTACAGGTCCGGGTTAGCTTAGGATCCGTTCTTGGCATACAGGAACATACTTGTAACATCCGAGCAACGACCAGTTGCCAACGGTAGGGACCAGGATGGGTGCAGCGGGAGGTTCTGCCCCATTCCAGAGTATATCCAGTCTGTTTCCAGCACCGCAGAATTCGGCAGCGTTACCAGTACAGTCCATGTTACAGTCCGATGAACTGACATTGGTGGCGCCACTTGCAAAGTAGTTACCACAATCTATGTGAAAGATGCGGTGAAAAACGATAAATATTAATGTGAAAAGCACATACAACACTCCTGGGCATATTCTACACCTGCATAGATGTAGGCATTGGAGCCAGTTGAACAGAAGTTGACGCATGACTCGATAGTCATATTCACGGTGTCTGTGTAGGTAGCTGCAGAAAGCGTTCTTACACCACCAACATTATCGCTGTACGATGCTGATCATAAAATTTCCATCATCTTAAGAGGATATACTCACGTCCAGCATCCAAGAGCAGTCCAGGTTGTTTCGCGTCGGTGAAGATGGTGTGAGGGGAAGCGATATGCAAAGGCGGTCTGTGGAGGAGATGATGAGTAACTCTGTACTACAGACAACGTAGGCTCGTACTGCTGTGAGCGATGGTATGATCCAAATCAACGAGGTGGTAAGACCAACCATCTCGTTGTGATCGACAATTCCTCAAGAACACTACATTTATACATCCCAAAGCGCTCTAGATTTTAGCTCCTTACGTTCTGGAGACTGTCAGGGGGAAAAGGGACAAAGGGACATCAAGGCACTTAGTTACACCACACGGGATACAGCCTAAGTATCCAGGTGGCATTGGCATTCAGGCTAAGCTGAGTAGGCTTGTTCGTATCGGGATTACGTGTCCTTGGAAAAGTTATCTACGAGTCGAGAGAAAAAAGAAGTCGATGCGAGGCTCTTCGAATTCATCCAAAATGACCGCCACGCAGCTCCAAATTGCGAATGCACGGCGTAGACGTGCAGGGTATACCTTTACGCGAATACGAAGGGTCCCTGTCGGATTGACACCTGAAATTCAGGAGAGATGGATCTGAACTTGCTGTCAAGTCGAGTGATGTTCTGTTGGTACAAGAGTATTACCCAACTGGCCCGCTATCTCCGCGTGATATGTACAGCACATATACGGGCACACGATCACGGGGTCGGGGGCCCGGGTAACTGGACATGATATACGGGAACGAAAGGTCAGATCGTACATGAAGGTAGCCAAGAATAGTCAAGGACTCACGATTTTAAAAGATGCCAGTTGCGTGTAGAGTGGGGCTAGAAAGCGCTTAATGGATAGTAGAAAACACACACGGGGATGAAGTACCTTAGGGATCAGTGAAATTCGGAAAAATTGACCGCGGGGATGCCGAAATCTTCGAATCAGAACGATGGCATCGACATTGAACTGTCTGTAGCACTTACTGACAGTGTCCCTAAGTCAGACAGGGGTTAAGACAGCAAGGTGATATGAATAATATTGGAACCTACCATAGACGATCGCCGAAAGCTTGAAGCTTGAGTTTGATTGCTCGCGGAGTGCTTAGTAAGCGGTAAGGTGGAGTCAGCTGAGCAAAAACTTTGATTTTTGAGCGGGCGACTTCCCTTGTACTAGAATTAAAAGTTGGCTTAGGATTGAGCTAGCATATAAGGATCACTGAAAGAATCAAATTTTTAAACTCGACCATTGAAATCGTCAGCTGTAAAGGAATAGGCAAGACATACGTTTTTGGTGTTGTGGCGGGAAATGGCCAAATAGGCTTTCTGATCACTCTCAACCAACCCCGCCGCAAACCTAAGAACATCTCCGAGCAAGGTATGAACTTTAAAGATTTTGGTTCAATCAACTTCGAATCAACTTCTTACTTTGACTCCCATTATGCCTTCCACAGACTTCACAAATATTAACAAATGTCTGCAAATCAGCAGATCTCTCCAACGCCCAATCCTACTCCTACAAATCAACCTTCTTCAAGTTCAGCTTGGACAGAGCCTCCTTGGTCAGGTTGGATAGAGACTACTGGCGATGCCTTACTCATACTCGAAGCCGCCCGTCGTGGTTTAATACCAAGAGTAACTAGGCGTCTAGTCGATGCAGAGCGCAAGATGATAACCTCTGGCTCAGTCTTTGTCTTCGACGAGGACGAAAGCGGTATTAAGCGCTGGACCGACGGTTTCTTCTGGAGTCCAAGTCGTATATTAGGAAACTTTCTTCTTTATCGTGAAACCGGACAAGCGTGGTGCAGGTCATCGAGGCGTTCGCTCAGACCCTGCCGAAATGAACGAACATTCTCAATACAACGTTGATGGCGTTCGCCTCGAAGGTCAAACTTTGAGTCGTCCCAAAGGCGAGTCCAGCTCACTGGGCATCGACAAACACAGGGAACGTGTTCTAGTCGGCAGTCTCACCAATAGCTACAAATTCAAATCTGACGGCCTCATGAAGAAGGTCTGCTCTTCCTCCTCCTCCTCCTCCTAAACTCTTTTCTCACGGTTTCATTCATATCAGACCTTTTCGTTGACAATCGGTGGTGTATCACAGCATCTCATCTCTTACTACAAAGTCGAAGATGTAGAGCAAGGACGGTTACGCTCCCCTTCATCACTTCCTGAACTGGCATCTCTGGACATTAGTCCAGAATACCTCGACAAAACTCACTTTCGCAACCCTCCTAAAGTGGAGATTGGTGTAGATGGTGTCCCTCGTTACCGTGGAGAGGCAGATGATATTGAATCTACCCCTTCTATGATTACTGCTCCCCTCTCGTCCGGGCTTCCTCTTCTTACCGACGGTCGCATCACCGACGGGAAACGAGGAGGGCGCTACACCCCTTACGCTGCCGGCAGTAGCAAACGTTCACGTAAATCCAAGAGTTCTCAGCCAGAGTCCACATCTCCGACGGACCAACACGCACCCCCTCTGCCATCCCCCTCCACTCCTACTACATCACAAGCTCCGCCACCCCCTACATACCCTGACCAAGCAGTCTCCAGTCTTCCTACCCAGCCTCACTATTCTGCCTACCCAACCCCTTCTTACTACGGCGTTCCAGGGTATTCCACTTCCCATTCTACTTCCCATTCCACTACCCATCCTCCTGTGTACTCGAGTTCGTCGTACCCCACACCGTCCCCGACAACTCCTCACCAGCCACCTCCAGCTCCATCTCAGCCGTACCCATACCCTGGGTACGCCGGCGGATCGGCTAACGCTGAAACACAACAGACCTTAATTCCTCACCATCCACCTGCTTCGGTACCCCAAAACAGCTACTATCAGTACTACCCACCGCCGGCCTCACAACCTCCATATGGTAGCTACCCCCCAAGCAACACGTGGCCGGCACCAACGTACGCTGGCTACTCTTCCTCGTCATCTGGCTCCTCCAGCGCACCCCCGCTTTCTGCCAGTATAACTGAGCTACCCGACAAACCCTCGGAGGGCCGCGCGGCACCGGAGGCCGGCTCCAATAGCCCTGCATGAAACTCTTTCGGTTGCTAGGTTGTATTCTTTACGTGCTTCGTCTTTTTCCTGTCGCTCTTCAGTCTTCTTTCATCGTGCTATCATGCTCGGCCGAGTATTTTGTCTCTATAGGTCCCTTTCTTTTTCTCATTTACATCTCCATTTCTGCTCTGCCTTTCTTTTCCCCTCTTGGTTCACTTGTTTCGGGGATTGATTATAACTAGTATTCCGTATCGGCCCTTGGCTTGTCTATATGTTCGACTGCAAGTGTGTCCGTTGTTAGTTTTAGCGTTAGCGTGACTCTGGTCGATATGGCCCCTTACCTATGCGCTCTCTTTCATATTATAATCTTCATCATGGCTGGCGTTCGGCTTCAGTTGATAAGTACTGTACTACCTACTTACCTTGTGCTGTGGGTTACATATGGAATACAGCATGCTTTCCAGTATCCCTCATGCGCAGCTATGGGGCCCCGACTTCCTTGAAGTCCCTGTATGAAATTCACTAATTGTACATTTTTAGACACATATGTATATAAGTCGAATCGATGGACTGTAACTTGTGGATTTTCAATTTCGAAAAGGCACCATCCTGACAGGACCGAAGAGCTCCCTTAGCAGATTCCGCGATATAATTTCCACCACTGGCATGATCTGTAAGGACAATTGCCAGCGAATCCCCTTGATGGGAGTCCATGATCGTTGCCAAGCACTCCTGGTTGGTGAGAATAGTAGGAACATGCGTATGCATTGCATCCCTTGGCCCTTAATGCATGGTATATAGATGTGACATGACAGAGATATCGTACAGACATGTATACAGCCAGGGCAAATTCACGATCGCCCAACGGACAAACACCAACAAACATAAAGCAGACTTGTGTCACGTATCATATGGCAAATCGAAGATCGCCCTCTACTGCAGATCGGGGACTAAATTCTTCATCATTCTAAGAAGTCATGAGCGAAAAGCATTAGAAAGAGTCAGCAAAACTAGACGCACGTCCTCCCACACTGGATCTTCAGCTCCATCTTCATCAAGAGGCTGCCATGGGGGCGTACAGTCAGGCCACCTGGGTGAATGTCAGGATCAGTCTCATAAGTGCAAGTCAATGACTTACAAATCGTCTTCTGTTTGCTCTACCTCTTCTCCGCGGAAGATTCGTGATATGAAAGAATGTTGTCTGTGCTTCAGGCTGTACAGTGGCGTGTAGCGGTACTGCCCAGCCTTATCAACCGCTTTTCGGAGGAATGCTGCTTGGGCATCAGTCCACCAATCCATGGAGGCTGTTCCGCCAGCAATTAAACCTGCTGCAGCTGGAATTGGTGCACTAGCAGTTAGTGCCAGTGCTATCCTCTCTCCGGCTGCGTCAGGCCGTCAACAAAGTACTACTAATGAAACACAAAGCAAGTAGACGCACACTTGTTAGATAAATAGATATAATATCCTGGACACGTGAACGTGCTGGTGACGAGATACTTGTCCTGCAGCTCGGTCGCTTTGTGTACAGTGGACAGCACCTTGCCCGGTGGAATGTATGCCTGCAGGGGTTTGTGCATTACGAGGACGGCGCCTCGCTTGCCTTCTTGGAACTGAAATTCAGCCTTGACGGAAGCAGAAGCCAGGTTGAGAAAGGAGCTGATCGATTAGTGCATGATAAACGATAGCACATAAAGCAAGAAGTACGTGCGCTCTCACACTTCTGGCTTCAGCGAGAAATCTCCTTGTTTAACACCCGAGGAAGACATGATTATATTGTCGTCGACTCCGCCCTTTGTTGGCTGACATGATGGGTCAGATAAATCGACATTTAAGCCTTGATTTTTCAATGATGTTTGGAATCCAATATCGTAGATATTCCCTTCCACGTCGAGCTCTCCAGTCTCACTGTCGATCGTCCCATAGTCTCCCACCTATGAGGCTCGACTGTAAGACAAAATCTGCACGGCAGTCAATAGAGCATTTAAACGAACCTTGATCTCAATCGGCGGGTCCCAATTAGCCCACTTGGACGAGGCCTGACGAATGAGATCGATGAACTTGCGAGAGGCTGCAGTGTTGTCTCGCATTGTTGGAACTTGGACAAAGAAAAGAAGAAAGGGCGGGAGAGTAGTTTAGCGCTCAAGAGGCTGTAGGGCAGGGAATATATATATATCTATAAGGTTACCAAGTACTGCGGCCTTGCAATAACCGCATGTCATGCTTCGTCACTCTTCAAGTGACATGTTCAATCCTGTAAATCTTCACCAAAGCACCACTGCTTCAGTCACTCCTCGTATTTCTATCACTATGATCGCGCGCGCAGGTGTAAACGTTGTTTTCGTTAGACAATTGCATGTTTAGAAATCTGGTATAGATGGATAAGGGACTGGCCGGCTCTAGCTAATGGCCGCGTGAATGAGCGCTTGAGCCCGGGAAATTTACGTAAACATCTCTACACATCACCAAGTGCCAAAAAATCCTGGACCTCACTTATCCACCCGGGCCTGAGGAGCCTGAATTCAACATATCACATCGCAGGGGAAGACAAGCTCTTACAGGTGATGTACTTCTTATCAGCACCCAAGACGCAACAGTTGCGGCAGTTACATGTTACATATACATAGACGAAGCCATCCCAGCAGTAAAACCCGTAATCGTTGCCGTCGTTGAAACCTTTGAAGCCCTTCCCGCACTGGTATGTATCTGTGGATAAACAGTAAGTACGCAGTCTAAATTCTGCGTGTAAGCCGAAAGAGTGCTCACTTTTGGGGATACAGGGTAGGTTTTCGGGTGATATATTCAAGTCTTCAGATGCGCTAGCTATTCCAGCCATTGCTGCAGCAGAAATTACAATAGTGGTGAGTGAAGTGAATTTCATGGTGGAGTATTGATGATGTCTTCTGGGCCGAAACGAGGAGCACGGTTTTTATACACGATTTGTGTACCGGGTACAGCCAAAACCTTTTCATTGTCGTATGCTCAGGGACAAAACGGATGCCGCCTCATGTTCCGTGAGTTCGTGGCTTTTTTTTTCCATGTAGTGACACGCAAATGCAAATGGGTGGCTTCCCCCCGGTAAGGTTTTGCAGAAGAATTTATCTTCATCCTCATGTCTTAGCCGATTGAATAGCTGAGCTGCGTTAGGACGGTCGGTGTCAACACCTCGTCTGTAATTTTTCATCAGGAAATCACGAGTTCACTTTTCTAACTTTTTAGCACTTAAATAAGTGACCCGCTACTCATTGTACTTTTCACGCTTATTTTTCAGACTTGCATCAGCAAAATCTCACATTTCTTTTTCGGTCTTATTTATATTGCTTGTCCGAAAAAAGTTGCTAAGTAAAAAAAGCAAACCTCTGATGTTGCTTATTCTGCTGGTACCACTTTCTGCAAACACGGTTCAAGTGGATGTTGTAGTGGAAGATGCATAAGTGAATTTCAGCATGATCAGAGTACATTGTCATGTATACTACTACTAATAAATACACAAAGTCAGGCCTTTTCTTTTGATCTGGTGATCACACCAGTATGGATAAATGACTTTTGCTAAGTGCAGTAGGTGTGAGTCCCATGAGAAAAATCAGTGGAGTGTTGCGGTTGTGAGATCAATAAATTCACATGGTGCAAGAACTCTGTCATGTCATGGGTAACCTTCTCGAAGGTGCCCAAGATCAGACATTTTCCCAAATTGCAACCGGACATAAGCACATGCACTGTGGAGAAAGCAGAGGCGGTGTCATGAGTTAGGCTTGTGACCAGCCTGGTGTATACTACCACGGATGCTCCCACGGATGCTGCTCGAGTGGCGTAGCCAGGCTGGTTGATCTCGGAGAGATTTGGCAGGGGAAGCATGGAGTTTGAAAATTCACAGTTGCTGAGTGCGCCGACGGTACTCAATACTCATTTACTTCTATGCCATAGTCTTTGTGTTTACTAGTCGTGCATATATGCTATGATTGTGGCCTTGCAACCATGGATTGCGAGGCCATTTTGGTCTCCCCAATGTTCCTTGCTGCACTAGATGCCCTTGAGAACCTTCCGACAGATTTTATTGATCCTTTAGATATATCCCAGCACCAGGACATTGTAGACTCTTTCTCCCGACTCGATTTTCTTGCGAAAGGAACGAAACAGCCAAAATTATTTCAACTCAAGTGCCTCATATCATTGCTCGCATCAAGACATGTTGTTGTCAGAGCTGCAACAGGTGCTGGCAAGACACTGGCAATGATCCTTCCCTTGCTGCTCTCTCCCGACAAGATAGCAATCACCGTCACACCATTGAAGCTTTTGCAAAAAGATCATGTATGCTTGAAAATTTAAATCATGAGTTTTACCTTTCTGGATCTGCCTGTAGGTCAACGAGTTTGTCCAGTATGGGATTCCCTCCATCGCAATCAACCATGATACCCCACATGACAAGACACTATGGAATGTATGTGAATCTTACACTGAATAATTCGTGCTTCTGTGATGAAGTCTCTACAGCATATAGCTGCTGGCCACTATAAGAACTTGCTTGTTGCTCCGGAACAATTTTTCCTGGAAGGTGGTCACATTCCCCGCCTTGCTTTGCAGCTAAAAGATCCTACATTCTCCAAGTGCATCGGTTTCTTCTTCGTCGACAAAGCACATTTTATTGTTACTGCTGGAGAAGCTCAGATAGGCAAAAAACTTCCCTTCCACCCTGCATATAGAAAACTCACAGAAGTATTGATCCAGCTTCCAGTGGATGTGCCTGTTGCACTATTTTCTGCGACTCTCCCTCCGCAGACACTGGAAAAGGTTTTAAAATCTCTCAATCTTCTGCACGACAAGATGGATATCATCAAACTGTCTACCAATCGCCCAAATATCATGCATGCAGTAATACCCATGCTCGACTCCATCAAAAACTTCAGTAACTTAGATTTTCTCATTCCTGTTCCATTCCATCCCCTGATGTCTTATCCTCCAAAATGCCTGATATTTATCGACCACAAACTTAGCACTGCAGGTGTCGCACAATACCTGAACGGTCATCTTCCTGAAGCTGTCCGTTGTATTTTCAAGTTCAAGCATCTGCATTTGAGCATGTCACAAGAACATAATGAAATGGTATTTGACGACTTTCAAAAGCCCAATGGTGTTGTTCAAGGAGTCGTAGCTACTTTGGGGGCATCCACTGTAACCATCTTGCAGGCAAATATACTCTAATAATGGCTAATGTGTTTGGTGTTACTGTCAACCTTCTCGAACATGAGCAGTGGGCAGGACAAGGTGGGCAAGATAAGCTCCAATGTCTCGTCCTGATGATTGCGGAGAAATGGGCATATAATACACCAAAAAAACCTCAAAGAGTTGTCGATAGATGCAAGGCCAGTGCCAAAGAATGCTGAACTGACTCAGCTATGTTCAACTTCATCAATCTATCAATGTGTCGCCGATATTTTTTGGCTCAACACAATAACTGACACTTCGCCTGAAGGTTAGTATGCTTAATTCATGGACTTGTATTTTTGACAGCCTCACAGCTGTTCAATATGAAGGTGTATCTTGCTGTGATCAACACCTCGATGAATCCTTGAATATCAACCATTTCATCCCTGGCCAAAATCTACAGTCAGTCATCGCACAGCCCACCGATCATGAGCCAGGCATAAACATCGTCTTGGATGCGCAAGTTCCACCAAAGAAGACTTGCAAGAAATATCGACCAATGAAACAATGCTCAGCCTTGGAAGAACTGCTCAAAGTCTGGTGTCATACAGTCATCTTTAATGACACTGCTCTTCAAGGTTGGCCTGCCGAGTGGATCCTTTCTGGTCAATATATTGTCAAGCTTGCACAAGAGGAAGACAGTTTTTTTAAATTGGCCTCTGATATCATCACATTTTTGCAGGAGAGCAAGGAGTGGAGTGTGTTTTTCAGCAATGGAGTATATGGTGTCATCGATTTGTACAACAAGTCTCTCCCAAGGAAAGCACAACATATCATGCGGAAGCCTCCTGCCAATCCAACGGCTGCTGACAGAGACCTCGAATCTGAGGATGATAACCCAGGACAACAGACTCCTCGTGCTCTTCCTGCTGATTCCATTCCACTTCTCTTGGACTTTACAGCAGATGTATATGACACAGATGCAACACTCATCAACCCATATAGCTCTGCATCTTCGCCACCTTCCAGCCATTGTTCGACACCTGATTTAGACCTCTCGCTGTCTCTCACAACATGCCGCTCACGTCCTGCATCATTCACACAAATACATGCCTCGCCAAATTCATGACCACGGAAGAACGTAATGCTATAATTTCCTGTACTATGTGCTAATGCTTTAAATTACATGGTGTTCCCAACTACCAACACCTCTATATCATCGTTGTCTTCTGGAAAAGCTACTGTATTGTTTACCCATGCCTTGTAACTTTGTGTAAATGTATCAATACCTTTCAGCTTCAACTGTGAGCTCCCATCCAGTAAGATATTCTTCACGTCTCTCTTCGTTTTACAGCCAGGGATGTAAATGTGCAAATTATGCTCCATTGCTTTTGATGATACTTTCTTGACGGATGTTGAGGTGTCAGGATTTGTATGCGTGGTACCACCATATGCGTTGCCCATGAACACAGCAAAGCGGCGCTTCAGAGGACGGTAGATAGAAATGTTTGGTGCCAAGTCACTGAGCTGATCCCATGTGCCATGCACACCTTTGGCTGCAAACCAATTCTGTATGAAATAATAGAGTTGTAATTAGTTGTTGTACCGAGCTGATGTGGATTACCTTTTGGAAGTTAATATTTTGCTCGCAGTTTTTATCCACTCCGACAGCATGTCCATCATGGCCAGAAGTGTTAATGAGAATATTGTTGTGTACGACATTCCTGCATGATAGTCAGTATTGAGATGAGCAATACAATCATGGACTACTCATGCAAAGTCGAAAGTTCAAACTTTATTCAAGTTTTGAATGAAATGAAGGAGCTCCATTGTATAATTTTTGCACCCGGCACCAGCAAACATCATGGTGAGTGTTCCAAGGAAGATCTCAACACGTCCAAAATCTCCTGATGATATTGCTGTTACGACTGGGATAGTTCTGCTGTTGCCAGTCAAAATAGACCTGTCGGGTGAACAGTTCGTCAGCCTTCCTAATACAAGGAAGGTTTCTGGTGGTTCCTACTGCACGAGCCTGCAGCTTCTGTGCAGGATCAGCGGCGAGTGGTTTTAGCACTTCTACCGCAATCAAGGGTTTCAGGCTAAGACAGTGAGTGACTGTCTTAGAATCAGAGTTCAGGCTACTAAGGGTGGAGACCTTAGTAGATCAGGTTTCAAGGGGAAAACCCAGTAGATTAAGTTAAGGAATACAGCTATGGTACATGGGGTTTATATAGGTAAAAGGGGGCGGTGTAGCCGCGACAAGAAAGGTAACAGAGATAGGAAAAAGAGTACAACCTATCAAGATAGCAAAGATAGGTGAAACCGCCATGCGGCGCAAGATAGTATCTATGTTACAATCAAGAAAGAAGAGAAGTGCGGACAGCCCGCTTGATAAGAGAATAGCTGGGTCTAGATGAGTCTAGAGTCGGCAGGCATGGTTACGAGAAAAGAAAAATAAAATAGGAGTAAATGTTATTGTAACATTACCCCGGTGTAACCGTTGAAGTCTCCGACTTCAATCCATTCTAGCGTCGTCGTAGTAGACGGGGTCTGCTTCGGCGTTATTAAAGTCATCTAGGTCCGTAGAGGAGCTAGGCTGGTTCCGATAGTCTTCATCGGCCTGTTCGCATTCTTGTTCATAGAATGCTCTCTGGTCTGCCTCCCAATTGCGGAGGGCTTCGTAGAATCCGTTGTCTGTATAGACGATTGGAAGTGGGTAGGTTCCTTTAAGGTCTTTACAATAGACCGAGAGATGTCCAGGGGCGATGGTGTGGCATATCACGCAGGAGTACTGAGGGCAGTTCTTGTGGCGGTGCCCGTATTCTCCGCAGATGCGACACTTGACGTTGTCAAAACCTGGTTTCTTGACCGAGGTGCGTGGTGGTGGTGATGGGGAAGTGAGGTCAATGACCTCTCTCTCTTTTCCTCTGTCTGCTCTCATACAACGTCTTCGAGCAATCTGATATCCGGTAGGTCTTCTTCCTCTAGAGGCAACCTGCGGTTGCAGCGCTCTGACTGGGAGTGGAGTGGGAGACGGGTCACGATTTGGTGACTGATGACGGGAGTGAGGACGAGGAGGAGAAGGCGGACGAGCGACTTCAGTCGCAGTTCTGTTGGCCACGATGTGTATAACTGATAGCATGTCAGGCTTAAGGCTATCAGGGAGAAGCTGAAGCGCAATCGATCTGATGCGCCTCTGGGATTGGATAATTTCATGGGCTTCTTGTGCGGAAGCGAGAGGAATTCTATTCGCGGATAATTCTATCAGGCGGGTAGTTCTGATGATGTTGATAATGGCAGCGATTATTGCTGCGCTTCTTGCTGGGCGCTCGGCGAGCTTTCTCTCCAGCTCGAGTGCGTGTTGCTCTGATAGTAGCGTTGCTTCAAAGAGGGTGTCTCCCTCAATACGATCAATGACGGTGAAATATAGAGAGGATGAAAGTGATATGTCGGTATCCTCTGACGATGAGGGGTCGGAGATGGAGGATGCAAGGGAGGAGTGCTCATCTAGCACAAAGCGTTCAGTCTGGGCGATGGGGACAAAATGTTCTTGGAGTTCGGCGGCGTCGAGAGTGAGGGTAGAGGGGGATAGTGGACATGTTTTTCTTGTTCGAGTTGCTTGGGTTGCTGATCCTTCAAGCAAGTTTCGTCCTTCTCTTATACGCTTTGAGAAGTGTTGGGAATTTTCTAGGTCAGCTTCTTTGACCCATTCATTGCTGGCTGATGAGTATCCTTTCCAGGATACTAGATAGCGACGGCGTGCCGCTGTTCCTTTGTGCGCGAGGATCGCTTCTACTTCGTACTCCTCAACCCCATTAATGATGTCAGGTGAGGGTTCGATGAAATTCGGGCCGTGGACCTTCTGTCTCCCGATAGGAGGATAGTTCAGATGCGTGGAATGTGGGGTGGACTTTCCACTGTTCCGGAAGCTGGAGTGTGAAGGTGATGGGAGATAACACCTTGGTAATGGTAAAGGGACCGTGCCGCTTTGGCGCCAGCTTCTTCGAGGGTAGGTGTGTCAGTAAATGCTCCGCTGACAACCAGACCTTATCTCCAACTTTCCATGGCTCATACTTCTTCCTGTGCGTCCTTTCGGCCATTCGTTGCATAGCGATGTTGTGGCAAGACACTGCTTCTTCTCTCATTTTCTGGAGGTTGGTGACACGGTCCTCAGCCGTGGGGATGTCGGTAGGGGGAAAGGCGTAGGGTATGCCTCTGGGTTCATAGCCCATCATCAGGAAGAACGGTGATGCATTCCGTGCGTCGTGTTTTCGGTGGTTGTGTACAAATTCTGCCATAGGTAGATGCTGTACCCAGGCTTCAGGGTTTGATCAGCAATAGATCTGGAGGTAGGTTTCAATCTCCTGGTTCAACCTTTCTGTCTGTCCATCGGTCTGAGGATGATATGCGGTGGATAAGGCAACCTCGTAGTCGAGTAATCTTCCGAGTTCTTTGGAGAACTTCGATGCGAACTGCGGTCCGCGATCTGAAATGAGCTTGTCATGGAGCCCAAAGCGTAAGAAGACTTTCTTGAAAAATAGTCGCGCCACTCCTTCGGAGGTGATGTTCTTCTTGCAAGGTGAAATAATTACCCCCTTTGTAAGTCCGTGGTCTACCACGACCATCATAGAATCATAACCACCGCTCTCGGGGAGGTCGGTGATTAGATCAACGGAGAGTTGGGAAAAGGGGCATACACCGGAAGAGCTAATCGGTTTCAGAGGAGGAGTAGTGGGGTGAGTGTCAGATTTCATCTGCTGACACGTCGCGCATCCTTCGACATATTTCCTAATAAAAGTGCCCATCTGGGGCCACCAATAGTCGCGTTTGACTAATTCCTCAGTCTTGAATCTGCCGGGGTGTCCGGCGGTCGGGTGGTCATGGTGAAGCTGCAAGATGCGGCTTCAGGTAGCAGGAGGTGCGTAGGCGCGGTTCTTGTACTTCAAGATACCGTTATCGAATTTCCAGTCGGATAATGCCGACTTCATGGGGGGCAAGCATAGCCCATCTAATGCGTCACTGGCGGTCTTAATGATGGGATCCGCTGTAGGATCATCGGCTTTTAAAGCCGTTTCTAGTTCTATATCAATTAGTCGGATAAACATATCATCGGGTAGTAGAACAACGTTCTGGTTGTCGGTCTCGGTAGGATGGTGATCAGGACGACGAGATAGAGCGTCAGGGACAGCGAGCTTGGTTCCAGCTACATGATGGAATTCGAGGTCGAATTCGTTCAGAGTGAGCTGCCAACATGCTTGGCGACAGGTCAATTGTTGAGCGGATCTGAAATAGAGGAGATTCATATGATCCGTGAATACAATGACGGGATGTCCATGTCCTTCGAGATAATGTCTCCATGCTGTCAAGGCACGGATGACGGCCAGTAGTTCTCTATCATAGATTTGATAGTTCTGTTCTGCTGCATTAAGAGATGCAGAAAGATAGGCGCAGGGGTGGTAAGCGCCATTTTCATCGGTCTGTAGTAGCACTGCTCCAGTTGCTACTAGGGAGGCATCCGTCGCAATAGCGAATTGCTTTGCGGGATCGGGGTTTCTTAAGACAGGTTCCGTCATAAAGCACTTTCTGAGTGCTTGGAAACTGCTTTCTTCTTCTTTGGTCCAGCAGAATGGCTGGGTCTTCTTCGTCAAGTTGTTCAGGGGTTTCATAATGTCAGAAAAGTGCAGGATGAAATGCCGGTAGAAATTACAAAATCCAAGGAAGGATTGTACATCAGTGACGGTTTTTGGTGTCGGCCAATCTGCGATGCCTTTGAGTTTGGCGGGGTCCATCGCGATTTGTCCAGGTCTGATGATCATTCCGAGGTAGTCGACTTCTTGTACATCGAACAGGCATTTCTCCGCTTTCAAAAATAGTTTCTCTTTCCTGAGGATATCTAATATCCAGCGTGTCCGTTCATGGTGTTCTTCAAGGTTTCTTGAGAAAATCAGGATGTCATCCATATAAACGATGAGCCATCCTTCGTTCAGTTCCTGCTGGAATGTCTGGTTCATGTAGGCCTGGAAAGTACCGGGTGAATTGCAAAGACCAAAGAACATGACATTCGGCTCAAAGAGTCCGAATTCAGTCGTGAATGCCGCCTTCCATCTATCTTCAGGGTGGATCCTGGATGTTGTTATATCCGGATCGGACGTCCATCTTGGTGAAGTACTTTGCGTCGCGAAGTTTCGCTAAGAGTGGTGGGATAAGGGGAAGGGGGTACGTGTTCTTGATTGTCCATTCATTAATATACTGGTAGTCTTGACAAGGCTGAAGAGATCTGTCTTTCTTTCCAACGAAGAAGAAGCCGCTCGACTGAGGGGATTTCGAGGGAGAGATGAATTCCTTTTTTATGTGTTCATCAATAAATGCCTTGACCACGACCCTTTCTTTCTCGGATAAGGGGTAGAGTTTGGATGATTTTGGAATATACCCAGGGTTTAGTTTCAATCCTATGGTCAATACCGGGTTGGTGAGGTGGCATGGAGTTAATACCGTCTTTGGCAAAAAGGTCGGCGAAGTCGTGAAGGTAAGAAGGGACTAATTCTTCGAAAGTCTTCTTCTTCTTCTCAATCTCACCTTCCATGGCTAATTCCTGAGACTTGTTGCTAGTCTTCAGGTATTCCAGAAGTGAGGGGGGTCTTGCCATTTTCTTGGTTTCCAATGCCGAGGTACTGTCATGAGTTAGGGGAGTATCCAAATCCAAATTTTCTATCAGGCGTACTGCGGTGGCGTCCTGGGAGTATTCAATGAGGAATTCGTCGTTGGTGAGGGTAAAGGAGGCCAAATCTTCGACTCTTGGTGTGAAGTTATCCTTTATCCATGCGTCATGTTTCTGATCAAAGTTCGGGATTTCGAATCCCTCATCTTCTTCGTCTGGATCGGAGTTCAATTGCGGGATGGTTTCTTCTTCATCGGGGATTTCCTCGATGGAGGCACAAAATTCTTCCTTCTTCTGGCGGATAGGCTCAGAAGTAACTGGGACTTTCTTTGAAGTCGGGGTTTCAGGGTTTAGCGCCTTCTTGGGGGTCGCTGGTTCTTTGATAGGCACCTTCTTGGGGTGCAGAATGTTCTTGGGGGCCTTCCTGGGGTAAGGCTTCGGTTTGAAGAGCGGCTTGAAGCCTGCGTCCTTCCTTTCTTGATCTATCCAGAGTTCTACTTCTCTAGATCTAGGGGTCTCATTGAGAGTGAGACTGCTTTCTGCCCAGTTGATGTCTGGGTTCATGGCTTTCAGCCAGGGGAATCCAAGGAGGATGTTGTCCTTGGTTCGAAGCTTGGTCATGTTGAATTTTCCATACATGACCCGCTTGTCAATCTTGATGCCGAGTTCGACATATTCTCTAATCTTCCCGCCGCGGCAGTCACTACTGTCGGCGGTGACCATGACAAAGGGTTTCAAAAGTTTCTTGGTCCGAATTCCGTGATAGTCGATGAATTCGGTGCTGATGAATGATCCCGCGGCGCCGGAATCGATGACTACGGTGGTTTCGACTGGTTTCGCACGTTTAGTTGGGAGGAGAGTGGCATGGACACGTAACTCTTCTTTATTACCAACATGATGTATAGTGCGAACTGGGATGGGAGGGACTGGCGTCGATACAGACCTCCATTCTAAAAATCCCCCTTCTTAGTCATCCTACGGGTGTCCATAGTTTCATTGTCGGAATCTTCTTCCTTATGCTTGGCCTCGCGGACCGGTTTCCTTTCCTTCGGGTGGTATTCCCTATCATTGGCTCTATGGCCAGTCTGGTGGCATACGAAGCATTTGCCTGTTCTCATATGTTCGGCCCTTTCTTTCTCTGAGAGGCGGTCGACCTCTATGGCATCTTTGTCCCCTCGTGGTTGGTACCTTTCAGGTCTGAACCGGTTCTTCTTCTTCTGGGTCTGGTGCTGGGTTTTGGGCCTCAGCGCCAGGATCTGCTGGTAGGTGTTGTCCATTTCTCTGGCAGACTCAACCATTCCTTCGAAGTCTGTCGCGATATTGCCTGCTCTGTAGATAGCATTGGCAATTCCGAATTTCAATCCAGCGGTAAAGAAGTGGACCCTCGGTCCTTCTTCCTGCAGGCCGGTCAACTGGAAGAGATGTCTAATCTCTGTAATGTATTCTTCAAGGGGTCCTTCTTGTTTGAAGGCCCTGAGCTTGATCCACGCTTCGGTGGCTGCTTCTCCTGTGGTGAATGCCTTGAGGAAGGCTTTCTTGAATTCTTCCCACGTTCCATACCCAATGGGTTGCTTGTTTTTGTCTAGCCTTGTGTTGTCTTGAGCTAGAGTCAGGAAGTCCTCCTTCCAGGTCAATGCTGACTTTTCATTCATGAAAGAGGTGGCGAAGATGATGCATTTCTTGTCAGTGTTGTATATTTCACTGTTGATGTCAAGGTAGGCGGCAACCGAGAGCAAAAAGCTTTTTGCGTTCTTCTCGTTACCATCAAAGATCGGTGGCGTTCCGATTTTGATTTCAATTGGCTTGTTAAAAGCGGATGCAGCTGCTGCCGTGGCGGCACTGGATGAGGCGGTGGGTCCCGACATGTTTCCGAATGCGGCGGCAAGGATGTTCGCGGTTATCAAATCAATGGTGTCAAAGTACTGTTGGAAAACAGGTACTGGGTGAGGAACTTAATCTTTTGTTATGACTGGGATAGTTCTGCTGTTGCCGGTCAAGATAGACCTGTCAGGTGAACAGTTCGTCAGCCTTCCTAATACAAGGAAGGTTTCTGGTGGTTCCTACTGCACGAGCTGCAGCTTCTGTGCAGGATCAGCGGCGAGTGGTTTTAGCACTTCTACCGCAATCAAGGGTTTCAGGCTAAGACAGTGAGTGACTGTCTTAGAATCAGAGTTCAGGCTACTAAGGGTGGAGACCTTAGTAGATCAGGTTTCAAGGGGAAAACCCAGTAGATTAAGTTAAGGAATACAGCTATGGTACATGGGGTTTATATAGGTAAAAGGGGGCGGTGTAGCCGCGACAAGAAAGGTAACAGAGATAGGAAAAAGAGTACAACCTATCAAGATAGCAAAGATAGGTGAAACCGCCATGCGGCGCAAGATAGTATCTATGTTACAATCAAGAAAGAAGAGAAGTGCGGACAGCCCGCTTGATAAGAGAATAGCCGGGTCTAGATGAGTCTAGAGTCGGCAGCATGGTTACGAGAAAAGAAAAATAAAATAGGAGTAAATGTTATTGTAACAATTGCCAGGTCCAACTTATAGAAGATTAAAAGATCACGGTTAAGAGGGATGATGTTTCGAAGGACCCTGTCCTGCATCTCCAAGTCTGGTTGTCCGCTGACATCCTCAACTGCACGTGCAGAGACATAGGTATGGTAGATTTTTGTAGCGAAAACCTTTAATTCCTCAGCTGTGGACTTCCTGTCTGCAAGAGCTGTGAGGCTCATTCCAGAGACGATCTCCCAGTAGAGCAGTATATGACCAACGAGGACTTGGGTAGCAAGAGAGACAAGTGTGCGATAATCTGGGTGTTCTGCTCCAAGCCTGACCCTGTCAAGCAGTGAAATATAGTACTGCAGTCCTCCAATTTCTTCAAGCGACCCTTGATGGATATGAAGGATTGCCCAGATCAGATTGAGTTGAGTGTGAAACAACCCTGGGGCTAACTGGAAGTTCTCCATCCGATTTATTGTGCCAACATTGTCTAAACGTAGTAACTGGGCACTCTGAACTCGTGCATTGGTTGATTGATCATTAATACATAGAATTGCTTGATCATTAAGATCATGTATATCAAATGCAAGTTGATCTATGTAAGCATTTCTTGCGACTTTGATGTTTCCATCAGTGGTAGACTCGTCTGTGGTGGTAGTTCTCAAGACATATTCTCGGGTTTTGTATCCTAGGGGCGGAGGGTGATAGGAATAATGCTTGAGCACAGGTGAATTTGAAAGGTAATTGAACCCAGGGTGATTGTCAATCAGGATTTTGATGATGTCGATGACAAGGTGGTCTGTCATATCATGCATGTGTGTGCGTGTTGGGCAAAGATCATTAGAGAATGTGATCATGTCACATTTGAGACAGTTATCAAGTATGGGTCGAAGTCAAACATCTTCCACGGTTGCATTACGCAGTGGGTATATGATTGCTGTGGTGCCTGACTGGACTTTCGGGGGGGCTAAAGCACGCTGTTCAACATGAGTAGATGTTGAAACTTGAATGTTGTCCCAGCCTATCATATGCAGTCCTCTACCAACAAGCTGTGCCCTTCATATCTGACCATCGGCCATAACAGTATGAGAAGTATGCAATGCATCGTACCCAGGCAAAAGACCACAATGTGTGAGTAAGTCAATCGTTTTGCGAGATGTACCACCACTGAACAAGCAAAGTCCATGAATGATCTGAAAGGCGAGGTTGTTTTGCAAGCGAATGCTTGCAATTTGCGATTGGATTACAGTGCAGTACTAGCTCGATGTCTACATTAGTTTTGTGTGGTTTGAAAAAAAGCTAACCATTTCAACATTTTGATGCTTATTCTATAACACAGCATGTGTTGTCCGCATAGCAGACATAAGGATCTGATGGAGCCAGGGAGTTGTCTCTTTCAATGGGACAGTCAATCCATGCTCGATGTCGAAGGAGAGCAAGTACTCCGGGGTGATGTCCTTCATAGACATATGAAAAATCAGCTTAGCATTCTCCATCTCCACACCAATCTCACGGGTGACCAGTTCTATGGCGCGAGGTCGCAGTACATTCTGAAGGTGAATAGCTCCTTGCTCATCGGACTCCAGCACATTAAGAAATTGTGCAAGCACAGAGCTTCAAAAGAAGCCCTTCCTCCAATTGATCATCACAGGTTTTTGTGAGACAGCACAGAAGTAAGTCTATTACGGTCATCTGCAAACTACGAAGTATTTCCAGGATAGCTAGAACTTTGACTTCTTCACTGAGGCCATGGTGATCGACTGCCCATGCTAGAAGTTCAGATGGTTGATGATAGTGCAACATCTGTGGGACAAGTGCAGTAAATGGTATCATTATGTTGTCCTGTTACTACGAACAAATGATGCAGGGTCGTTGATGCTGGACGATACATCAATAACATCAAGCGGCACACTCGGCAACTGTAAATCTTCAAACTCTGTGCTTCCTCTGCCAAATCTTTCCGAGATCGACCAGTCTGCCTACAGCAAAATTCCCACCATCAAAAACACACATAGGCAGAATGGTTATGAGTCTAGTCATGAGTACCTTTAACAAACCATTATTTTTTCTTGAATCTTCCTAAGCGCCAATACACAGTGCCTAAGATAAACCCTAACCCTACCATGAAAGCATCTACCAGTTCCGAAATCCCTTTAGCGCCCACAACACGGTCTTCAATGTGACTGATGAAGAAGACGAGTTCTTTGATTGTGAATAGATTAGATAGATATGATAAGATAAGATATGGTCACATGATACTTCTTTAATATTCTATGATGTTCTATGGTACGATTCCCTTTTCCTTTTTATGATTGGTCAGTAGTTGTATCTCAGATTCAATCTCAGATTCAATAGTTGTATATAGGTAGCACATCTTGGTTGATAGTTCTCTAGTTCAAACCTCTTGTATCTACATCATTGTAGCAATCCAAGATGTACTTGCTCATTCCTTTTTGTTGTGATAACCTTAGTTGAGTCCTAGTCTCCGCCCAGCGTTAATTCGTTATTGGGTTGTGACATTAGGTTTGAACTATAGGAGACTCCAACTCTTGCATACTGCTCGCATCCATTACTATATCCTTTGAAGCCTTGGCCGACCAATTGGTTGACCAATGATTCAAATGATCATCTTTACTTGTTGTTACATGTGTCTCAGCAGCACATTTGCGCGAGACACACATCTAACATCCATTACACATTTTATCTTTCCTGGTCTAAACAACCGCAACCATTTTCCAAACCCATCCCTTTGCTCACTTGAGCATTTTCTATCAATAATCTTTTGTAGTTAGTAGTCCTATACCAGGCCCTGCCTTACATTGCAGCCACCAGTATACAGAGGTGTTGATGACATTAGGTGTCTCGCTACAACTTGAAGTGCTGGCCCAAGACCCTGCCTGCTTCATGTTACTATAGTTTCCTTTTTACGATTACCCTTTTCTTTGTATGCACGTAGTACCTTTTCGTTAAGTTTAGTAGAACTGTCGCATCTGCAGATAGTCTTACCATCATTACCAGGAGGATTTAGATACAGTGTTCTAGTGAGACTCGCACTTGTAAGCTTCGGCTGGAGGAGTGATAACTTGTCCTAGACCTGTACCCTTATGGTGACTGAGAAGTAACACACACAAAGCACACTGCGTTTTTCTCACTTAACAAAGGTGTAGTTTATGTACTCTCTCTTTTTAGTTAGTAGATAGGGAAGTGTCAGTAGGGTTGATTAAAGAACCCTTTGACCCTGAAGTACGTGGTAGATCCAGAGAGAACCGGGGACCACTTCAGTTTTCCGTTTACATACTCCTTTTTCCCTCTCCCTTAATCATCATTCCTTTTTGGGTGGACTGTTACGACTTGTCCACCATATCATTATTCCTTTTTTGGAAGGGCCATTATGACTCGCCCTTCAAACTTCTTATGTCATTTGTAAAGTGGGTTCCAGAATACAACTGGTACAATGACTAAGAAGACTTACTCCTTGCATGAGTTTCACGCACTTGATGAGGCTATGAATGGGCCTAAACAGCCTTTCAATTGTTACAAATGTGGAAAGCCAAATCACATTGCAAGAAACTGCAGAACTCCGAATTCCCTTTCCCCCTCAGATAACTCCGTACTGCCCAAATGGTTCCAAGATTTCTTAGCTAATAGAGAAGCAAAGAAGAAGGAATCAGAAATTCCCAAGTGGTTCAAGAATTGGACCGAATCATCAAAAGGCAAAGAGATACTGGCTAAGATGAAAGCCAAGGCAGATGCACTTGCCAAAAAGGTATCAGAACCACCTAAATAGTTTAAAGAATGGGAAGCCTCTAGAAAAAACAGAATCTTGGAGGAACAAGAGACGGACAAGTCGGACAGTAGATACTTGATCCTTGCGAACTTTGTAGATGTAGAAGAAGTAAATCTAAAGACAAAATCAGAACACTTCTATCTTCCCATAATGCTTAAAGGAAAGAATAGATCTGCAGATTTAAAAGCTCTTGTAGATTGTGGAGCATCTATGCTCTTTATCAATGAACATTTTGTCAAGGAGAACAGAATTTGTTGCAGAAAATTACTGTGTCCGATCCAGGTTAAAAACATAGATGGATCTCTCAACCCCTCAGGATTGATGACTCACTTCGCCAAACTAGGTCTTAAGGTCGGTAATCATAAAGAAGAAAAATTAGCATTCATAGTTACAGACTTAGGGAGCGATGATGTGATCATTGGTATCGACTGGCTAAGATACCACAACCTTGAGATTGACTGGAACGCAGGGAAGTTTTCGCTTTCATGATGCCTGGTGAAATGTGAAACAAAGAAGGAGAAAAGACTCCGAAACAGGGCTGAGAAGAAGAAAAAGTTGAAGACGTACCCAGCTTGTTGCCTGTGATGGCAGATCAAGATGACAATGAAGACGTGGCAGAAAGTAGCAGAAGAAGCTACTAAAGAGAAGAAGTCGGTAGAGGAAATGACACCTGACTGGCTTCATGATTTCCTGGGAGTTTTCTCAGAAGAATAATCTAAGTGCTTCCCTGAAAGAAAGAAGTGGGATCATGCAATAGATCTTAAAGATGAGGGTGATCTTCCACCAAATGCGAAACTGTACCTGTTATTACCTAAAGAGATGGATACACTGAAGGAATAGTTGAAAATTGAGACTGCACTGGGACATATTAGAGATTCACAATCTCCAGTAGCAGCACCTTTCTTCTTTGTGGCCAAAAAAGATGGCAAATTAAGACCGGTGATGGATTATAGAAAGCTCAATGAGAAAATGGTGAAAAATGCATACCCGCTACCGAGATCTCAAGATTTGATTGATGCTTTAACTGGTGCCACAATGTACTCTAAGATGGATGTATGATGGGGGTACAACAACATTCACATGAAAGAAGGAGATGAGTGGAAGGCGGCCTTCAAAATGCTGTTTGGTCACCACGAACCGACCGTGATGTATTTTGGACTCACGAACTTGCCTGCAACTTTCCAAACGATGATGAACAAAATTCTAAGAGACTTGATAGATGGCAAAACAGTAGTTGTCTACATTGATGATATAATGGTCTTTATGAATGGAAATAGACAGCAGCACCGAAAGGTGGTACAAGAAGTCCTGAAATGATTGAAGGAAAATGACCTGTTTTTGAAGCCTGAGAAGTGTAGCTTCGAACAGTCTAAAGTCGAGTTCCTTGGGTTGATCGTGGAAGAAGGCAACATGTTGATGGACCCTGTGAAAGTAGAAGGAGTACTGAAATGGCCTGTTCCCAAATGTGTAAAAGATATACAAGCATTCATGGGCTTTGCCAACTTCTATCGAAGATTCATACTTGGGTTCTCGGAGATAGCCAGACCAATGAATGATCTGCTAAGAAAAGATGTCAAATGGGATTGGACGGAGAAACAACAGAAAGCTTTTGATGAATTAAAGAAACATTTCACAGAAGCTCCCGTCTTAGTCATGCCGGATGTTGAGAAGAAAAAGAAA